GGAAAGAGGTAGGGAAGCATGAGACGGCTCAGTGCAGCAGTGGCAGGGGAGGAGTAGCGCGCAACTACAGCGTCGTACAAGGTCTGAGCACTCTTGTACTGACTGAAGTGCGCACGCTCAGAGGTAGGGAGGTGGCGACGCACAGCAAGACGTGCAGCAGCATCGCGGGTGGCCCACTTAGAGTGGACAGCGGGATCAGCATCAGCAGCAGGAGCAGGAGAGGCGCCAGAGGTGAGATCAAAGAGAGAAAGGTCGTCAGCCCTGTCGCACTGTAAGAACAGCTGCAGGTCGTCTAACCAGACCTCAAAATCAATGGCGCGACCCTCAGCGTCAAAAGCTAGGACACTAGGGGTAGCCATGGCGACGACAGCGACGCAGTGCAAGCAGCAGGGAAAGAGCTCGCAGTGTCAGTGGGACTGTGCTCACCAGGCAGAGCAGGTCGTGTAGGTATGCAGAAAGGCGGCTCGGGTGCTGGGCGGCTCGGCTGCTGGGCGGCTCGGGCGCAGGGCGGCTCGGCTCCCGGGCTGCTCGGCGGCTGGGCGGCTCGGGTGCAGGGCGGCTCGGCTCCCGGGCGGCTCGGCGACAGGGCGGCTCGGGTCCCGGGCGGCTCGGCGTCGGGCGGCTCGGCTCACGGGCGGTTCGGCTGCTGAGGCGGCTCGGCCAGGAGATGCAGGGGCGGGGCCGTCAGGTGCAGCGGCGGGTTGACCGGTGCAGTGGCGGGCCGGCAGGTGCAGCGGCGGGCCGGCAGGTGCAGTGGCGGGCCGGCAGGTGCAGCGGCGGGCCGGCAGGTGCAGGCGGCGGGCCGTAGGAGCAGCAGCGAGGCCGGCAGGTGCAGCGGCGAGGCCGTCAGAGGCGGCAGGCCGCTGGGTGCAGCGGCGGGCCGGCAGGTGCAGTGGCGGGCCGGCAGGTGCAGCGGCGGGCCGTAGGGTGCAGTGGCGGGCCGGCAGGTGCAGCGGCGGGCCGGCAGGTGGAGTGGCGGGCCGGCAGGAGAGGCGGCGGAGCCGCGTCAGGGGAGGCGGCAGGGCCGCGTAAGGGGAGGCGGCGGAGCCGCGTCAGGGGAGGCGGCGGTGCCGCGTCAGGGGAGGCGGGGGAGCCGCGTCAGGGGAGGCGGCAGGGCCGCGTCAGGGGAGGCGGCGGGGGCCGCGTCAGACAGGCGGCGGGGCCGCGTCAGGAGAGGCGGCGGAGCCGTGTCAGGGGAGGCAGCGGGGCCGCGTCAGGGGAGGCGGCGGAGCCGCGTCAGGGTAGGCGGCGGGGCCGCGTCAAACAGGCGGCGGGGCCGCGATCAGGAGAGGTGGCGGGGCCGCGTCTGAGGGACAGCGGGGCCGCGAGGGAAAAGGCGACCCGAGGGGGGGGTCGCTAAAAAAAAGTGCGCGCCTCGGGGCGCGCTTCGGTGGGCCCTAAAAAAACGGTCCTAAGGTAGGACCCGCTCTATACCATGTGAAGTAAAGAAAACAGGAATGAAATGACTAAGGAAAGATTGGGTACAAATACAACCCTAGAAACCCTGTACCCCATATGTGCTACCCCACTATAGCCTACAGCAACTATGTCATATAAATCTGACAGAAGGGGCTTTCCGAAGCTGTGGAGTTTTAAATGCGATAGACGCGGTGGGCAACGAAGCGACAGGTCCGAGTGTTTGATCCGATAAACATGACCCGGCTACGATTGCATTCGCACCTTCACCAAATGTCAGAAAAATCGCGGGCAACACGGAGATAAGCCTCATCCGACAAAAGCGGACGCTGGGTGAACAGCGGCAAGCAAAATTGTCGGGGGGTGAAGCCAAAAAAAAAAAAAAATGGAGGGAAATTTGTGGGTGCTCTAGCAGATCTCCAGAGTGAAAGGTTGAGCTCGTACACCAATCCACCGCGAATTTCGGAGTCTATTCGGTAGACCCCCGAAAGGGTTTGATATTGTTACATGGAGGCGCGGCGAGCGGTGTATCGCCAAGGATACCTGGGATTCGCTAAGTAATTTCGACGGGTACAAAGACGGGTGAACGTCAGAGTACCAGGGTCAACGGCGGAAACGTCGGGGTTATGCGGCGGAAAATACTTCGGGACTGCTTCAACAACCATGATTTTCGGGGTTTTATTCCAACGGTGGGAGACGGTTGAACGTCTGCTCGCCAGCTGTTTCAGCGGTTTACGGTGTACTTCGAAGCCAGCTGGGGAACTTCTACGGCGAGATCTGCGGCGTCGATGCGGGCTAGGTTCCGTGAAATTCGGTCCCGGTAGACCCATGACTCCGGGTTCCGCACGAAAGAGCACCTACTGTTGGTGGGTTGCTAGTGTGGTTAACCATGGAGAGAAAAATGGCGACGGGTGGGCACGCTAGACACACCGGTTCTTTCGGGGGGCAACCTGCAGGCGACCAAGACTTTACGTGGTGTGGAAATTTCCGACATTTACGGGTGCAACGAGCAGTTCCGACAAGAGTTTTTTTCAACGGAGTCAGTGCGGTCGCTGACAGTATCCGTGCCGACGGCCGACTGCAGTGTTGCTTGATTAAGCGCGCGAAGGCACTCGTCGTCAAAGTGTGTAGCCGTTCAAATCGGAAGCTGCTCGGGGGTACCAGCCGCAACACGAGGGACAATTTTGCAACAGGTGGGGGGGAGAAGGAGACAGCTGTTTTCGCCCCTGCCCGGAGGTTTTCGGCGAGTCACGACAACACCGATAATGCAGCTGACGTCATCGGCAGTTCAAGTTCGAGTTTGAAAAAATATTGGCAAGGTCAGGGGGAAGAGCAGCAGTTGTTTTCGTCCCTGCCCGGGAGTTTTCGGAGCAACGCGACAAGGGCCTCGGCGAGCCTGGACAAGACGGTCGGGTGCACCGACAGCTGGAGAAGCTACAGCGAGGATTTTCGCCTGCAAACAAGACAAACGGCAGCAATTTCAGGATTGCAACAGCTGCCAACTGGAGATTGGGCAGCAGTCAAGTGATTCGATACTGCCACGCGGGGGTTTTCGAGGTGGCAGTCACGAGGGATGCTGCAGCAATAGTCGTGACAACAAGACAACACGAAGAAATTCTTCATGCCGAGTTCCTGCAAAAACGATATCATTTCGAAGGGACTTCAACAGAATTTACCCTTGACATTTTCGGGATTTTCGACAGTGAAAATTTCGCCACCGACAGCAATTTCGACTGCACAGCGGCTGAATTTCAGGCGGACTGCCATAATACTTGGTATTCTGCGTCAGGGTGGTTGTGGTTTTTGTGCCCGTGCAGCTGTGCACATTTTGTGGGCAGCAGTTATCTTCCCAGGGGGGAGAGAAAGAGTACTCACGCACTGTTCTTGGCAGGTCTCTAACATTTCGGCAGTTATTTCTGACAGTTCGTCTGACACACCCAGCACGACGGACGCACGCGATGGCTTCATCGGCATCGACGGCACCAGATTCATCGATCTCTGACAACGCGTCAGATTTCCTGCCGACATGACGTTCATCAGAGCCATCCGATACACATCGGCGACATCAACGGTCTTCCTTCGTCGAAAGATTTCAAATCGACATTCGCTTTCAAACCGCCCGATCGACATCGGCAGTACCAACGGCTGACATCCCAACTCTTTGAAATTCGCCTGGTCAACGCGTCAATTCGAAAGTCAACATGCTTCCGCACCGTCAGATCGGTTTTCGACCGAGATCTGCAGTTTTCACGCTACTGCAAGACTCGCCTACATATAAGGGCACCTTATTTAGAAGGTGGGAGAGTGTAATGAATACGAATTCATTACTGTAGAGGCTGCTCCTAGCGAGGACGACCCCGAGCACTCCGCGTCAGTTTCGAGGTTCGGCCTACACTTCGGCCCGAACCACCCCCGAGTCGCCCCGCACCAATCGCGACACTTCCAAACCCATCCACGTCCTGAGGTCCTCGCCTACCACGGTTTCGACCCTATAAATGCATGCCTCTTTATCATTCTTGACATGCTGGATTCGACATCCTTTTTATAAAGTCTTCCGCGCACTCTTAGTACATCTCATAACAATGTGTAATTGGACTGTCTGGGGGTGAATTCGCATAGACGGGGTGAATCTGCTGCGCCAGGGGGCGAATTTGCTGCGTCAAAGGGCGAATTTGCTGCGTCAATGGGGCGAATTTGCTGCGTCACGGGGCGAATTTGTTGCGTCAAGGGGCGAATTTGCTGCGTCTGGGGGCAAATTTGTTGCATGAGGGGGGGATTTTGCTGTCAGAGGCGAATGCGTTGTGACTGGTCAAGGATTTCCGTCAACGCTGTGACTGGTCAAGGGTCATTCCAATCGAACAACGATCCGCTCTCTTGTTGCTCGCCAAAAACAGACCAGCAAGTTCAGTATTAACAGTTGTGTTCAAAACACTAAAAACAGATTGTGTCATATGAAAACACCCGGGTAGTATATATATATATATTTCCTTTGTTAAGACCCCCCCTCTTTTTACAAGGGGATTTAAATAACACCCTAGGGTGTTATATCCGGGGGAATACGGTATTTCCCCATTTTCCCAATCACCACCAGCCTAGTCTTCTATTTGAGTTGTAGTCATTTTCTAGGCTTTCCAATCGAATCTATCCGCGATATCCGGCTTTAGGCTAGACCCCTTTCCGATTAGTTTAGGCGAAGCCTGCATTGGCCCAATTCTGGCATTCGTCAGCACGTTCAATGACGTCAGTTGTGAATATCTCCGAGATCGACGGCTGTATACGGTCCTGATAGATCCGACGTTGCAGAAACTGCCAACCTGGGGGCGAAGTGAATCTCGCTAAAAGGGCGTCTCGGTAGCACCAGTGATATTCCATCCTCCGCCTGGTACTCCCCCTATAAATGTTGCTTGATTTCCATTTACAATTCCACACATTCGAAGTGGCCTTTCCTTGCCTTTCGCCGTCGACTGGTCTCATTTTCCTCTCTGACTATCTCCCCCTTTCCTTGGCGCGCCTCTCTAACTCCGCAAACCGAGTGAAGGTTGCGCCATCCCCTAATCCGCGCGCACCGCTCCATCGACGTCCAGATGGAGACCATCAGAGCGTCCGCTCTGCGCGCCCCCGCGCTCTCCCCCGCGCCAGCGCAGGAGATCAGCTCGCGCGCCTTCCGCGCCGCTCAACCCGTCGCCACGCGAGTCACTCGACCTCGCCGCGGCGCCAGAACCGCCGCATTGCGCGGGCTGGGCGTGCGGTCAGAGAGCGGCGCGGCGGAGACGGAGAGCTCTGCGACGGCGGCGGGCGGCGAGGGGAAGGCGCTGAACCGATGGAGCTCGCGCATCACGCAGCCCAAGTCGCAGGGCGCGTCGCAGGCGATGCTGTACGGCGTGGGGCTCACCGAGGCCGACATGCACAAGGCGCAGGTGCGCAAGGGGGGGATTGGGCGGAAGGAGGGGGGAGGAAGGGGTGTGGGGGAGCTTTGGGAGGATGACATGGGCGAGGCGCGCGGAGGCAAAGGGAAGGAGGAGGAGATGCTAGAGGAGAGCGACGAGGTGGAGGAGACGAGAAAGATAAAGGAACGGAGTGGCTCATGGCCTCGTGCCTAAAACCCCGCTTGTCCCCCACTCGATAGCGTCGGTAAAAATTCTGACCTTTGAAAAGAGGCTGTTGTAGTGGCGATGCTCCACCCAACGCCCAACGCCCTCTGCGCGACTGTAATTTCGGCCTAAAGAATCCGCATTGTGCCCCATCGCCATCACCATCATCACCTCCCCATCCGCTCCCCTTCATCACCTCCACATCCCCTCCCCTATCCCTCCTTCTCTCCCCCAACCCGCTTCCGCCCCGCCCTCCTTCCGCGTGTGGCGGCAGGTGGGGATCTCGTCGGTGTGGTACGAGGGCAACACGTGCAACATGCACCTGCTGGAGCTGGCGGAGGCCGTGAAGGGCGGCGTGACGGACGCGGGGCTGGTGGGGTTCCGGTTCAACACGATCGGCGTGAGCGACGGCATCTCCATGGGCACGGACGGCATGAGCTACAGCCTGCAGTCGCGCGACCTCATCGCGGATAGCATCGAGACGGTGATGGCGGCGCAGTGGTACGACGCCAACATCTCCATCCCCGGCTGCGATAAAAACGTCAGTCGCAAGAGGGGGGGGAGGCATGGCGGGGTGACGGGCACTTGACGGGCATGGGGTTGATTGGAGTGGGGATGGCTGGTGATTGGAGAGAATGCACGTGGAGCGGCGATGGGACGAACACGTGGAGTCGTGGGGCACTGTGCAACGTGACAGTAGTGGGAGAAGATGGGGATTGTGGACCAGGATGTTCCACGCAGTTTAGTGCGGCGCAGTGCGGTGCTCCCATGTGATGTGCCCTCGCGCTCCACCCCATCATGCGCTTGCACCCATGTCCTCATGCCATGCCATGCCATGCCACCCCACCATGCCATGCGTGTCCCCATCAGATGCCCGGCACGGTGATGGCGATGGCGAGGCTCAACCGACCAGCCATCATGATCTATGGCGGCACCATCAAGGTGGGCCGTCTCATGCATGCACGCGCCAGGGCCGAGCCAATGGTCGAGCCAGTTCGTGCTTCGTTTTCATGCTCTTCAATTTGAGTTATGCGCCCCACCCCCCTCACCCTCAGTCATTCTCACCCCCCATCTTCACCTCATCCCCCAAAATCCCCTTTGCTAAACCTACCCCCCCCCCCCCCTGCTTCTTGAACCCCCCTTTCCCATTGTCCCTCACCACCACACACCACCACTTCCAGCCGGGCCATTTCGAGGGAGCCACCCTTGACATCGTCAATGCCTTCCAGGTACGCCCTCCCTCTCCCTCCCTCGCCCTCCCTCTCCCTCCCTCGCCCTCTCTCTCCCTCCCTCGCCCTCCCTCTCCCTCCCTCGCCCTCCCTCTCCCTCCCTCGCCCTCCCTCTCCCTCCCTCTCCCTCCCTCTCCCTCCCTCTCCCTCCCTCGCCCTCCCTCGCCCTCCCTCTCCCTCGCCCTCCCTCTCCCTCCCTCGCCCTCCCTCTCCCTCCCTCGCCCTCCCTCTCCCTCGCCCTCCCTCTCCCTCGCCCTCCCTCTCCCTCGCCCTCCCTCTCCCTCGCCCTCCCTCTCCCTCGCCCTCCCTCTCCCTCGCCCTCCCTCTCCCTCGCCCTCCCTCTCCCTCGCCCTCCCTCTCCCTCGCCCCCCCTCTCCCTCGCCCTCCCTCTCCCTCGCCCTCCCTCTCCCTCGCCCTCCCTCTCCCTCGGCCTCCCTCTCCCTCGCCTCGCCCTCCCTCTCCCTCGCCCTCCCTCTCCCTCGCCCTCCCTCTCCCTCGCCCTCCCTCTCCCTCGCCCTCCCTCTCCCTCGCCCTCCCTCTCCCTCGCCTCGCCCTCCCTCTCCCTCGCCCTCCCTCTCCCTCGCCCTCCCTCTCCCTCGCCCTCCCTCTCCCTCGCCCTCCCTCTCCCTCGCCCTCCCTCTCCCTCGCCCTCCCTCTCCCTCGCCCTCCCTCTCCCTCGCCCTCCCTCTCCCTCGCCCTCCCTCTCCCTCGCCCTCCCTCTCCCTCTCCCTGCCTCTCCCTCGGCCTGCCTCTCCACTCTTTTCCCCTGCTGTCGTGTTGAGTTATCCCCCCCCTCTTTGCTCGTCTCACCCCTCTCCCGTCCTCTTCTCCCTCTCTATGCATCCCCAACACCTCCCCACCCTTCACAGAGCTACGGCGAGTTTGTGGCGGGGAGGATAACAGAGGAGGAGAGGCAGCAGGTGGTGCGCCACTCGTGTCCGGGGCAGGGCGCGTGTGGCGGCATGTACACCGCCAACACCATGGCATCCGCCATCGAGGCGCTGGGGCTCACTCTGCCCTACAGGTGTGCCTCGCCTTCCCCTCCCTTCCCTCCCTTCTTTTCTTCCTACTCTTCCTTCCCTTCCTCCCCTTGCTGCCTCCCAACTCCGCCTTTCTTTTTCAAAGTTCCCCCACACACCCATCGCTCCCCCATTCTTCCGCTCCCCTAATTCTCCCCTCAGCCCACACCGCCCTCCTCCCCCTCAGCTCGTCAACCGTCAAGCTGACTCAAACCCCTCCTCATGCACCCCTCCTCTCATGCACCCCATCCCCCCTCCACACCCCCTTTTTCCCCCTCACAGCTCGTCCATCCCAGCGGAGGACCCATTGAAGCTGGACGAGTGTCGCCTGGCGGGGGCGGCGATCAAGCGGCTGTTGGAGCTGGACGTGAAGCCAAGGGACATCATCACGCGGGAGGCGCTGGAGAACGCCATCACCACTGTCATCGCCCTGGGCGGCTCCACCAACGCCGTGCTGCACCTCATCGCCATCGCCCGGTGAGAAGAAATAGGGTACGGGGACAGAGGGTGAAGGCTTTGCAAGGCTTGGGGACGGCTGCACCTGCTGGAGCTGGTTTACATCATTGCCACCACGCCGTCAACTCTCGTTCCGCCCTCACCAACCCTGCACCCCTCACACACCTCTCTCCTCTCTGCCCCTCACACCCTCTTCTCTTTGCGCCTCAGCCTCCTACCCTCGATCCCCCGCTGCCAAATCCTCCGTAATCTCTCGGATGCCTCAACAATTGCACCTCCTGTTCTCCTCTTTGCCCATCTCCTGGCCTTCCCCCCCCTCTCATGCAGGGCGGTGGGGCTGAGCCTGACGTTGGACGACTTCCAGGCCATCAGCGACCGCGTGCCGTTCATTGCTGACCTCAAGCCCAGCGGCAAATACGTCATGGAGGACGTGCACAAGGTGGGCGCACAGCGGTGCAGAGGGATGCAGAGGGGTGCAAAGAGTATAGAGCTCTTGTGGCTTGATTTTTTTATCCCACCCATGGCGCACCCATGCATCGTCATGCATCCACCAGAGCCCACCTCTGCCCATGCTGGACTCATGCCCGCCTGCCCCCCTGCCTGCTCGTGCTGCTGTGCCTGCCCTGCCCCCCACTGTGTGGTCAGATCGGCGGCACGCCAGCAGTGCTCAAGTACCTGCTGGAGAAGGGGCTGCTGCACGGGGACTGCCTCACCGGTCAGTGCTTGCTGCTGCATGGTGCATGGGGTGTGGTAGTGCATGGGGTGAGGTGCGTGGAGCGTGGTGGATGGGGCATGGTGCATGGGGCATGGTGCATTGTGCATTTCGCATGGTGATGGTATGACTTGTGAGTTGACGGGGACACTGGGTTTTAACCTCTAACCTATCCTCTCGCACCACTCCTCTCTCCCTCTCTCTCTTGCGCACACCACCCGTGGCCCACATGTCTCCTCGCTGCAGTGACGGGCAAGACCCTGGCGGAGAACCTGGCCTCCGTGCCGCCACTCTCCCCCGGTCAGGTACCTATTGCGCATCTCCCCTGCTCTCCCTCCCGCTCCCTCCCCATCCCTCCTTGCCCCCTTCCCCATTGCTCCCTTTCCAAGTTTCTTGTTTCTGATTCCCCTGCCCTCTTTCTTCGTCGCCCTCATTTGGTGCCGCATCGGCTGGTGATCAAAGAGAATGCGCCCTTCCTCTTCCCCTGTGTGCCACGTGGCAGGACGTCATTCGCCCATTGGAGGAGCCCATCAAGCAGACCGGCCACTTGCAGGTGAGCCAGCTGTCATGGCTGACTGCATTGAGTGCTGGCGGCATTGACAGCTGGCACTCTCGCCCCTTTCAATCATTACCATGCTATCCCATGCCATGCCCCTTCACCCCATCTCAGCTCGTCACCTGGTCTGCTCGCGCACTTATCCTATCTCCCTCGCCTCCTCCCTGTCCCCCGTCCCCTCCTCCCCTCCTTCCCCCCCGCGCAGATTCTGTACGGCAATCTGGCACCGGAGGGGTCGGTGGCAAAGATCACGGGCAAGGAGGGACTTTACTTCAAAGGTGGGGTGATGGGGGAGAAGGGGGGTGAAGGTCAAGGAGCTTTACCTTCCCTGTCTCGCTGCCACTTGCACGGCACACTGGCTGCCATCCACACTACTCTGTCGCGCTGCGCGCAAGAAGCATGTCGCCATCCCAACCCCCCCCCCCTTCCGCCGCCCCCCTTTCCTCGTCCCCACCACCAGGCCCGGCGTTGGTGTTTGAGGGCGAGGAGGCCATGCTGGAGGCGCTCTCCGCCGACCCCAACAGCTTCAAGGTGCCGCCCCACCGCCCCGCACTGCACCACATCCCTCCGCACCATTCCACTTATTAGGCCAACCCATCCCAGCTCAACCAAACGCACTTGCCCCAGGGCAATCCAACTGGCGTTCTCTGCTTCTTGCTACCTCCGCCCTCCCCCCACCCTAATGCCTCACCATTCATACACCCTGCTTTGCCCACATGAGGTCCTCCCACCAACCTTCCCCACCCTCTACTCCCCACCTTTTCTTTCCTCCTCCCTCTCTCCTCCCCTTCCTTCCCTCTCTCCCTCACACTCCTCCCCTCCCCTCTCTCCCTTTCTCTCAACACCAGGGAGCGGTGGTGGTGATACGGGGAGAGGGCCCCAAGGGCGGGCCGGGCATGCCGGAGATGCTCACGCCCACCTCCGCCATCATGGGCGCTGGGCTCGGCAAGGTAACAAGGGGGGATGGGGGGGTGGGAAGGGTGAGCAGGGCGTGTGAGTCTGCATGCGTGGGTACTTGTAGGAACGCCTCGAAGCACATTGTCTACATTCCCTTTGTGCCCACCCATTGCCCTCACACCCATTCCTGCTCAGCCCTCTTCACTCTCTGACCTGCTCTGCCCTCATGGCTCTCTGACCTGCTCTGCCTGTCCGTCTCTCCTCACACTGCTCTCCACCGCTTATCTCCCCCACACACACCAGGAGGTGGCGCTGCTGACGGACGGGCGCTTCTCCGGTGGCTCTCACGGCTTCGTGGTCGGCCACGTCTGTCCCGAGGCACAGGTACACATGGCACCTCCCCATTTGCTCTGAGGCACAGGTACACATGGCACCTCCCCATTTGCTCTGAGGCACAGGTACACATGGCACCTCCCCATTTGCTCTGAGGCACAGGTACACATGGCACCTCCCCATTTGCTCTGAGGCACAGGTACACATGGCACCTCCCCATTTGCTCTGAGGCACAGGTACACATGGCACCTCCCCATTTGCTCTGAGGCACAGGTACACATGGCACCTCCCCATTTGCTCTGAGGCACAGGTACACATGGCACCTCCCCATTTGCTCTGAGGCACAGGTACACGTGCTGCCTCCCCAGCGTGCACCTGACTGTGTCCTGCCACATCACTTGCATACCACCCTTCCTCGTCTCTCGTCACCTTCTCCCCCATACCTCCCACCCTGCACTCCTGCCGACGCCCTCATTCCCCACACTCAATCTGTCCCTCCCCTCTCCCATGCAACAGGTGGGCGGCCCCATCGGGCTGGTGCAGAACAGGGACGTGATCACCATCGACATGGAGAATAGGGCCATGGACATGGCGGTCAGTGAGGTTGGTCATTGGGGACTCTCAATATCCAACCGCTATCCCTCCCCTTTCCTCTGCGCGCAGGTGGGCGGCCCCATCGGGCTGGTGCAGAACGGGGACGTGATCACCATCGACGTGGAGAAGAGGACCATGGACATGGATGTCAGCGACGAGGAGCTGCAGCGCCGCCGTGCCAACTGGGTGGCGCCGCCTCTCAAGGCCACCCGCGGCACGCTGTACAAGGTGTGTGCGCCTGTGCAAAAGTCTCTATTAGTCAGTGCTTTGTGCGCAAATCAGTGCATGAGTCCTGCCGCATCATGTGCCATCTGCACTCATCCTCACATTCTTGTGCATCGCCCCTTTTGTGTGCGGTGCCAGCTCATATCCTTCCTTTACTCACGCACCGTGCTTTGTGCCTTGTGCTGCCACCCCGCCCCCCCTGGCCACGGCAGTACATCAAGACGGTCAAGTCAGCATCTGAAGGCTGTGTCACGGATGAGTAGATGCATGCATGCATCATGCGCATGCATGTGCACAAGCACCACTGTGGGCAACTTGACATAGTTTTGTTATGGAGTATGATGATGAGAAGCCGCTTGTTTTGTCCATCCGCATAGTGTAGTTCCGTGAAAAAAAGTGCACCGTGTCATATCTGCAGTTGATAGTTGAAAGTTGGTATGTTATCTTCTGTGCAAGCTCACCTATTCAGCTCTAGGCCAGAGTTGGTCTTACAGAATCCATCTTACGACAAAAAATTGGAAGGCAATTCCTCCAAGTTAAAGTAAAATCTCATGGTATGCTTGCACTAAGTCCTCTTCTCAAAGACAATGCATGGTTGAGAGTGCATTGATGCTAAATGGCAGCACTATAGGTGGTTGTGAGCACTGTTGGGATGGGGGCACTACAAGGAAGCCATCTCAGCGCTACCACCACCAAGCACCCCGAGCACAAGGAGGTTGCGTTCTTGTTGGACCTTCCAGCATGGCACTTGGTCGTGGCAGGGTGATAGTTTGCCTACATAAGTGCATGCAATTGTCATCCTATATGGCACTCGTGTGGTGGACAACCAAAAACTCATATTAGAGCAACCAGACCACGTTATTTCTACATATTACCGTAGGAACGAAACCAACCACAGGTTACTTTGTAATAGGCAGATGTAATTTTCCTGTAAGCCACCTTCCTCGTTCTCGATTCCACGGCAGAGCAGGCAGTGCATCTCTTGAGTGGCCATGGCACATCACAGGAGGTCCATCAGAGCACCTCCAGATTGCGGGGGAGCAGCAGGGCGCTGAGGAGGCGTGAAGCCAGAGCCCATGGCAGCAGATGCAGGGGGGGCAGGGAAGCCCTGCGATGGCGGAGGGGCAAACCGCATTGCACCGTACACAGCGCCGCCAGCAGGAGGAGCAGCAGCCATGCCACCCATGGGAGCCATGGGAGCAGCAGGGAAAGCCCCAAACCCTGGAGCCATGCCAACGCCACCCATTGGCCGAGCCATTCCCATACCCATGCCTGCTCCCATGGCCCCACCCCCCATGCCTCCTCCCATGCCCATGCCCATGCCCATTCCCATGCCTGTGCCTCCCATCCCTGTGCCGGCAGCAGTGGCAGGCGGGGCGGCAGACTGGAAGGAGCTGCCGCCCCAGTCGTCCATGTCAAGTGGCCCACTGGCCTTGGACACTCCGCCCAGGGGACGCGGGGCGGCACTCATTGCAGCTGTTGGTGCCGCTGGCGCTGCTGCTGCCTGCGGTTTTCTTGGAGGCCAGTCTGCAAAGGGGTCGTTGGGGTCACTTGCACCCCCTCCTGCTCCTGATGCTGCGCTCCCTCCCAACCCCCCACCCATGCCTCCTCCCAGTCCCCCACCAAACCCTGTGCCTCCTCCCAACCCCCCTCCTAGCGATCCTCCCATAGGCGCCCCCCCTAACCCCACTCCCAAGCCGCTACCAAGACCCCCCATACCCCCACCGCCTATGCTGCTGCTGCCACCAATTCCGCCTCCTCCTATTCCCCCCAACCCACCCCCGCCAATGCCCCCCATGCGGGCTGTGGGATTGGCAGAGAGGGAAGCAAGGCTGGGGGATGGTGCAGCGGAGAGAGTGGAGGACGCGAAGGGGTCTGACGTGCCAAAGGCAGACGAGGCGGAGGAAGCGGGGGTGGACGAGATGGGGGGCGTGGAGGCGAAGGGGTCTGAAAAGGAGGGGGCGGCAGAGGGGCCAGCGGAGGAGGAGGCGGGTGCCTTGGCCCAGTCTGGTTGTGCGTCCCATGCCGGCGGCTTGGCGCTGGTGGAGGGGGTGAGGGGGCAACGGGGTGGCGGGGGAGGGAGTGGGGGGAGGATCAGATGAGGGAGTGGAGAACGGGGGGGAGATGGGATGGGTTAGAGAGAAAGGGGGCTAAACGAGGAAAGTGGCTGCAAGGAGATGAGAGGCCAGCGTTGGGGGACGTTTACAGGGAGGCAGGGGGCTGACCTGTCGTCAAAGGCAACAGTGGCATCGGAGGGAGTGGAGATGCCCATGGATGCGAGGTCCAGCGATATGGAGTCCGCCTCACTCAACGACACGCCCCTCTTGTCCTGTATCTTGCTGCCACACACCGGCAGCAGGGGCAGGGGCACGGGATATGGGGCATGGCACAGATGTCATGTTGCGCACGAGATATGGGGCATGGCACAGATGTCATGTTGCGCACGGGATATGGGGCATGGCACAGATGCCATGTTGCGCACGGGATATGGGGCATGGCACAGATGTCATGTTGCGCACGGGATATGGGGCATGGCACAGATGTCATGTTGCGCACGGGATATGGGGCATGGCACAGATGTCATGTTGCGCACGGGATATGGGGCATGGCACAGATGTCATGTTGCGCACGGGATATGGGGCATGGCACAGATGTCATGTTGTGCACGGGATATGGAGCATGGCACAGATGTCATGTTGCGCACGGGATATGGGGCATGGCACAGATGTCATGTTGCGCACGGGATATGGGGCATGGCACAGATGTCATGTTGCGCACGGGATATGGAGCATGGCACAGATGTCATGTTGCGCACGGGATATGGAGCATGGCACAGATGTCATGTTGCGCACGGGATATGGAGCATGGCACAGATGTCATGTTGCGCACGGGATATGGAGCATGGCACAGATGTCATGTTGCGCACGGGATATGGGGCATGGCACAGATGTCATGTTGCGCACGGGATATGGAGCATGGCACAGATGTCATGTTGCGCACGGGATATGGGGCATGGCACAGATGTCATGTTGCGCACGGGATATGGAGCATGGCACAGATGTCATGTTGCGCACGGGATATGGAGCATGGCACAGATGTCATGTTGCGCACGGGATATGGGGCATGGCACAGATGTCATGTTGCGCACGGGATATGGGGCATGGCACAGATGTCATGTTGCGCACGGGATATGGAGCATGGCACAGATGTCATGTTGCGCACGGGATATGGGGCATGGCACAGATGCCATGTTGCGCACGGGATATGGGGCATGGCACAGATGTCATGTTGCGCACGGGATATGGGGCATGGCACAGATGTCATGTTGCGCACGGGATATGGGGCATGGCACAGATGTCATGTTGCGCACGGGATATGGAGCATGGCACAGATGTCATGTTGCGCACGGGATATGGGGCATGGCACAGATGTCATGTTGCGCACGGGATATGGGGCATGGCACAGATGTCATGTTGCGCACGGGATATGGAGCATGGCACAGATGTCATGTTGCGCACGGGATATGGGGCATGGCACAGATGTCATGTTGCGCACGGGATATGGAGCATGGCACAGATGTCATGTTGCGCACGGGATATGGGGCATGGCACAGATGTCATGTTGCGCACGGGATATGGGGCATGGCACAGATGCCATGTTGCGCACGGGATATGGGGCATGGCACAGATGTCATGTTGCGCACGGGATATGGGGCATGGCACAGATGTCATGTTGCGCACGGGATATGGAGCATGGCACAGATGTCATGTTGCGCACGGGATATGGAGCATGGCACAGATGTCATGTTGCGCACGGGATATGGAGCATGGCACAGATGTCATGTTGCGCACGGGATATGGGGCATGGCACAGATGTCATGTTGCGCACGGGATATGGAGCATGGCACAGATGTCATGTTGTGCACGGGATATGGGGCATGGCACAGATGTCATGTTGCCACGGGATATGGAGCATGGCACAGATGTCATGTTGCGCACGGGATATGGAGCATGGCACAGATGTCATGTTGCGCACGGGATATGGGGCATGGCACAGATGTCATGTTGCGCACGGGATATGGGGCATGGCACAGATGTCATGTTGCGCACGGGATATGGAGCATGGCACAGATGTCATGTTGCGCACGGGATATGGGGCATGGCACAGATGTCATGTTGCGCACGGGATATGGAGCATGGCACAGATGTCATGTTGCGCACGGGATATGGAGCATGGCACAGATGTCATGTTGCGCACGGGATATGGAGCATGGCACAGATGTCATGTTGCGCACGGGATATGGGGCATGGCACAGATGTCATGTTGCGCACGGGATATGGAGCATGGCACAGATGTCATGTTGTGCACGGGATATGGGGCATGGCACAGATGTCATGTTGCCACGGGATATGGAGCATGGCACAGATGTCATGTTGCGCACGGGATATGGAGCATGGCACAGATGTCATGTTGCGCACGGGATATGGGGCATGGCACAGATGTCATGTTGCGCACGGGATATGGGGCATGGCACAGATGTCATGTTGTGCACGGGATATGGAGCATGGCACAGATGTCATGTTGCGCACGGGATATGGGGCATGGCACAGATGCCATGTTGCGCACGGGATATGGGGCATGGCACAGATGCCATGTTGCGCACGGGATATGGGGCATGGCACAGATGTCATGTTGCGCACGGGATATGGGGCATGGCACAGATGTCATGTTGCGCACGGGATATGGGGCATGGCACAGATGTCATGTTGCGCACGGGATATGGGGCATGGCACAGATGTCATGTTGCGCACGGGATATGGGGCATGGCACAGATGCCATGTTGCGCACGGGATATGGGGCATGGCACAGATGTCATGTTGCGCACAGGATACTTGATCGAAATAATTACGGAAGTCGATAGGCGACAGGTCACTGAGTGAACGGGAACCTAGTAAGTCGTAAGAAAGTAAACCAAGTAGCAGGGAAGTGCATGTGCAGCATGATGTGAATGCAAAGAGAGTGTGAGAAAGAGCGGGGAGGGTGGGAGTGAGTGTGTCTGTGCGAGAGAGAGAGAGAGAGAGAGAGAGAGAGAGAGAGAGAGAGAGAGAGAGAGAGAGAGAGGATACCCCTTAGCCCTCTGCCCTCTGCCTCACCCCTCTGCCCTCCGCCCTCCAGAGCTATTTAAGGGCTGTTTCTCTCTCCCCCTCCTCATTATTTCGTGTGGAGTTCATTTCCGGCGGGAGAGAGCGAGAGAGAGAGAGAGGATACCCCTTAGCCCTCTGCCCTCTGCCTCACCCCTCTGCCCTCCGCCCTCCAGAGCTATTTAAGGGCTGTTTCTCTCTCCCCCTCCTCATTATTTCGTGTGGAGTTCATTTCCGGCAGGAGAGAGCGAGAGAGAGAGAGAGGATACCCCTTAGCCCTCTGCCCTCTGCCTCACCCCTCTGCCCTCCGCCCTCCAGAGCTATTTAAGGGCTGTTTCTCTCTCCCCCTCCTCATTATTTCGTGTGGAGTTCATTTCCGGCAGGAGAGAGCGAGAGAGAGAGAGAGGATACCCCTTAGCCCTCTGCCCTCTGCCTCACCCCTCTGCCCTCCGCCCTCCAGAGCTATTTAAGGGCTGTTTCTCTCTCCCCCTCCTCATTATTTCGTGTGGAGTTCATTTCCGGCAGGAGAGAGCGAGAGAGAGAGAGAGGATACCCCTTAGCCCTCTGCCCTCTGCCTCACCCCTCTGCCCTCCGCCCTCCAGAGCTATTTAAGGGCTGTTTCTCTCTCCCCCTCCTCATTATTTCGTGTGGAGTTCATTTCCGGCGGCTCGCGCCGGCGGCCTTCGGCCGCCGCCGCTCGCCAGCGCGGCCTTCGGCCGCGCGCTCCTGGTGGCAAGGAACAAGGCAGTGGACTGCTATTCCAGGAGAAACACGCATGCACAGGAATCAAGGGAGCAGAGCCTAGGCAAGAGAGAACGGCATGCAATATTACACGCGGCGGAGGCCTACATCGTGTACGGCTCCGCCCCCTCCATCTCAAGCATCGAGCGCATACACGCCGATACCGCAAGAAGAAGATGCGCCGATGACTGGAGCACGTCCAGGGGGGTCCCGGCCTGAGCAGCCCCTACAAGATCCCCCACGTGGCGGGGGAAAGTACGGGCTAAGGGAGCTACCCCGGCGGGCGCTTCCGACACGGGCGCCAACGGCGACTCGAGCGATCCTGCCAAAGTCACGCAGGATCCTCGGGATCCTGGACCGAAACTGCTCGGAAAGTTCCGGGTGGCCCCACACACTGCCAGCTGCAAGTTCGCCACCACCTCGCACGCCTCCGCCAGATTCAATATCCGGCACATGGTCAGCATGGGGTCTCTCCCCACGGGATTGGGGTGAGGTGCAGTCTGCTCTTCGAGCGGAAACGACGCCGACCAGCCAGGAACGCGGCCAACAGTCAAGCGCCCAGCGGAGAAGCCAGGAACCTGACGAGGGGAGCGATAGTCGGGTCTCCCCACCCGCGCGGGCAGATACTCGGCCAACATCGGCGCGCGCAGTGGGGCCACCGGGCCGGGATCCGCGGCAAAGGGAGGGCCATTTGTCACCTCGATGTGAACGTGAGTCGGCCCCCCGCTCGCCCGGGCCTGCCGCACCACATCCACGAATGTGTTCGCAGCGTGATCAAGAGCAGGATCCGGCTGGCGGCCAGATGAGCCGCGCCCTCCGCCATTCCGCCGGCCCCGCCGCCCAGCGGAACCACCCGAATTCGGACGCGGAGGGGACTGCTCGCGACGACCTGATTCCCAGCGACGCCCAGGCGACCCCTTCCCCCGCGTCGCCGGAGCTCGCCGCGGTGATTGTTGAGCGGGGGATCGCGCTCGGGGTGAGCGCTGGCCTGCTCGACCACGAGGAGACGGGCGCCGAGGAGAGCGAGGACGCTCAGGGGAGCGCGGATCCCCCTCCCTGCGCTGATAATGTTCGCGACGCGCGGGAGATAGGCGACGAGGAGACGGCTGCCGTTGGGGATGACGCTGAGGCGAGCGCCCGCGCTGCTGCGGCTGCTGACCGTCAGGACGGTTCGACGCCACACGCGCAGGAGCCCACGAATACTCAGGGGGGGAGAGGCGCGAGGCTGGCTGATGGGGAAGAGTCTGCACCCGCTCGAATCGGTGAACGGGCTCGCTTGCGGAGGGATGCGCAGGAAGTCGTGGCCGAGGCTCGGCAGGCGCAGGCTCCCGCGGCGCGCTCTCCGCGGAATGCTCAAGCTCCGGATCCCGTCTTGCGGACGGGTCCATCACTCCCGACCGTAGCGCAGCAGATGCCAGCGCGCCGACGAAGGGAAGGCGAGACGACCGCGGCGCCGCTGGCGGGGGGCGAGGGAGTCGCAGTAGCAAGAGCAACGCGCGGAATCTGCGTCGGACGCGGCAGTCGCCGCGGACGAAGGGGTAGCGAGCGGGGACGGAGAGGCGGCGGTGCGCGGGGCACGAACAGACGCCGCACAGGAGCCAGCGGCTTCGCGAGAAACGCGGAGAGGCTGATACGTCAGAGCGCGAGAGGCGGCGAGGAGGAACTTCGCGAGGAGGCTGAGGAGGCTACGGAGAATGAGAGAAGTGACGAGGGGGACCCCTTATTTAACCCTGAAAGAGAGGGGTTGTTAGGGGTTGAAGTCGAGGAGGATGACGAGGAGTTGGATCGCCTACTCCAAGGAGAGGAGGTCCCCAGCCCACGTGCCCGAGGCGTTCCTGCCAACCAAACCAGATCCGAAGGTGTGGGGCAAATCCCAAACCTGGGCCGAGCCGCATCTGCAACCCCAACCCCCAGAAATCGGACCGCGAGACCAAACCGAACCGCCCCCAACATTGCGGTTACCACCGCCCCAGCCAGTAACGCGGGCCCAACGCCTGCCACCCCCGCCCCAATCATCAGCGCTGACATCCTGGCAAGACGTCAAGACCTTTTCGCTGACATCGCCAACTGGGACCTCGGCCCGCTGCGCGACAGCAGACAGCCACCCCTTGCCCGCCACCCTCCTCGCCCACTTCGCGAATCCTTCGCCATCTGCCTGCTGACCCCACTTCTGCACCTCGCCATAACCCCTGATTCCACTCCTGGTTGGAAGCTGCTGATGTTTCTCCCGCGAATTCTCCTGCGCTCGTCATCTGCACGAAAACCAGACTGGAAGGCAATGGGCGACAGACTGACGAGATTTCGCCAAGGGCAGTGGCGCGGCCTTTACGACGAGGCGGCAGAAGCAGTGAACAACAACCCCCAACCACGCCACGTACCTGACACCACGGGAAAGCTGGCGAGAGCCGAGGGATTAGCGAAAAGGGGAAACCTGGCGAAGTCCCTCCAGTCGCTAACTGCCACGCCCGTCTGCTCGCCAACCCCTGACGTATTGGCTGCGCTCACGGCCAGGCACCCAAGGGCCACCGCAGCCATCCCAGTCTGGGTGCAAGACTTTGCCCCTGAGACTCTGCCCTCAATCACAGCTCGCGAGTTCAGGAAGCTGCTTGCCCGTTGCCCCAACGGCGTAGGGGCTGGGCCATCAGGGACTACCTTCGAGCACTTGAGAGATGCGGCCCTTGGGAACACCGACGTCCTCCTACAACTGCACGCGCTTACCAACACGGCGCTAGCGGGTAAACTGAGCGCCGAGGCTGCAGATCTACTCACCGCTTCGCGCCTGCTCGCCTTCACGAAACCCCAAGGCGGAACTAGGCCAATAGCCGTGGGCGAATGTCTGCTGCGTATTGTCACAAAGGCGGCGCTCTTCCTGGCCGCCCCTGCAGCGCGCGACCACTTCACCCCGCTACAATTCGGTGTGGCGATCGCGGGGGGCATCGAGGCAGCGATACACGCGGCCCGCACCTACCTGGAGGAGTTCCCCGGAGCAACGGCCCTCCAGATCGACCTGGCAAACGCTTTCAATGCCGTGGAGCGCGCGGCGGTGTTTGAAGGACTGAAAGGCACGAAGCTTGACACCCTGGTCCCCCTCGTCCGCCTCTCATACGGCCGCCCATCAGCCCTCTACCTCGACCACGATTTCGAGGCGGCGCCTCTACAGAGCGCGCGAGGCGTGCGCCAGGGTGACCCACTGGGGCCTATGCTGTTCGCGGCCAGCATCCATCCCTGTCTCGCTGCAACGGCGACGGCCCACCCAGAGGTGGTGCTCCTCGCGTACGCAGATGACATCACCCTGCTAGGCGAGACTGCGAGCTGCACGGCGGCCTTCAACCACCTCACGGAAGCACTTCTCAGCCACGGCCTGTCCCACAACCCCGCGAAATGCGAAGCATGGTCCGCCACAGCCCTGGAGCCCGCCGCTCTGCCCCACGGCGTCACTATCTCCCGGGACGGGATCCGCGTCTTGGGCAGCCCGATTGGGCCCCCCGCCGGCTGCGCTGCCCGAGTGCGGGAACGCCTTAAAGCTGCTGCTGAACCGCTCCCGCTCCTCTCCCAGATGGACCCGCAACTCTGCCTGCTCCTACTTACCCGCTGCGTGAGCCGCCGCGCTTCGTTCATGGTCAGAGCCACGCCGCTTGAAGCCCTACCGCTGAGGGAATGGTCCGCCTGGGGGGAAGAACTGTTCCATACCTACCTTGCCGCAGCACACACAGAAATCCCCAGAGCCCGGGTCGAGAGGGAGAGGATTTGGCACCAGGCCGCCCTGCCCGCGTCCCTGGGAGGCCTGGGCATCACCAACCCTGCAGTGGAGGGGGGACATGCCTACCTGGCTGCAGTCACTGCTGCTGCACACCTGCTGCGAACCTTCGGCGACGCGGCAAACCCTGCTCTCACTGGACTGCTGCCGCTAATGGACTCCAACGAGGAATCTACGTCCCTCCTCCCAAGGCGCCTTGCTGCCCTAGAAGCCGTGCTGCCTCCTGAGGGGATCGAGGCCCTCCAAGTGGGGAGACAGAGACCGGACGGGCCAAAGCTCCAACAGTCGCTCTCCCTCGCGGTTCAAACTGCAAGGTTCATGCAACTGCTCGAGAGCTCGCGGGAGATGGAGCTCAACCCACTGTTCGGACACACGCAGCGGCTGCAGTCCCTCTTGGGCCCCGGCGCAGGGGACTGGCTGCTCGCCGTCCCGCTGATCTCCTCCCTCCGCCTCGGGCCCTCTCAGTTCTCCACAGCGGCCTCCTTCCGCTTAGGCCTCCCCCTACCTGTGCCAAGGCGCTGCGACTGCAGATACCGCACCACATTCCCCGACGACCGCCTACCGAACCATTTGATGCGGTGCGAGAAAGGGGGGGGGAGAATTGCAACCCACAATGCCCTTCGGGACGAGTGCGCAAAGATAGCTGCGGAAGCGGGCTTCACCGTGCATAAGGAGACAACGGCTTACTCACCGGTCGAAAACCTCAAAGCGGATATCTCTATCCGCCATCCCGACACCGGTGAAGTGTGGATCTGTGACATCACGGTCACGGATCCCGTCTCCCACCAGGATGAATACGCCCGTAAAGCTCCCGGTTGGGCTGCTAGAATGCAGGCGGACAAGAAGGCAAGCAAATACGCCAGGCGGAGCGCTTGGGTGGGCTTTTACGCCTTGGCGGTTGAGACCTACGGTTACCCCTCGAGTGGAGTCCTGGAATTCCTTCGCAGCTGCGCGGAGTTAGCGGCCATGCGGCGGTTCAACGCCACCCCCAAGTCGAGGGAATGCGCCAAGCTACTCACCGAGTACCGGCAGCGGTGGAGTGTGACCCTGCAGAGAGCGCAAGCCACTGCCCTCAGGGATAAGACCCATGAGGCCCTCACGGCGGATGCGCTCGGCCTGCAGGGCCCGTTTACTCCAATGAGTGAAGGGCAGCTGTATCAGTTGATAGAAGACCCCTCCGGCCATTAGGGCCGGGCGGGGAGGGGGGGGCTGGGGCTGGGATAGTGCGGGGTTAGCTGCTGTTTTGCTGTAGCCTTGCCGTGAGATTGCTGTAGCCTTACCATCTGTGTACCTTGCTGACATTAATACCAAGGCCCGTTCGAGAGAGAGAGAGAGAGAGAGAGAGAGAGAGAGAGAGAGAGAGAGAGAGAGAGAGAGAGAGAGAGAGAGAGAGAGAGAGAGAGAGAGCGGGAGACGGGTGGGGGGCGGCGCACGTGAGGACGTCCATGATGAGTTTGAGGAAGCGGGCGAACTGCGGGCCTGTGAGCTGCTGCACCACGAGCATGGGACACAGCAGCGGCAGTATGTGCTCTGCTGCAAACTCTATTCCGTACTGCCATGCCATGCCATTCCATGCCACACACCCATGCCATGCCACACACCATGTCGCACCACACCATAACACACCACAGCACATCATGCGAGATGAGGAATAGGGAATGCTGTTAGAAGTGCGTCACATAGTGGGTTGCAAGGGAAAATCGTGACATATGGAACAACAGAGACAGTGGAGCAAGCACACAAAACAGGCATAGGACAGTCAGCCACAACAAGGACCTGCCTCAGCACGCATCTGCATCAGCACCCACCTGGCTGAGAACGCACCTGGCTGAGAACGCACCTGCCTCAGCGCGCACCTGCCTCTGGATGATGTCAGCAATGCCGACGATGCACATGAGCGTGGGCGGGGAGCGGTCGACAGCAGCGCAGCGCACGCACGTCTGCAGAATGTCCATCACGGCCGCCTTGTCCAGGTTGGGTATCAGGTCGCCCAGACATATGAGCGCCTGCACCCTCACCTGGTGGCGTGGCGCGGTCACAGAGGCGAGAGGGGGAGAGACGAGGAGAAGGGGGAGTGCACAGTTAGATGAATAGGAGGGAAGGAAAACAAATTGTGAGAGATGAAGGGACGAGCGGCAGAGAGATGGTGGGGGCAGAGAGATGGACAGAAGAGAAGGCAGGGTTAGTGGCGACGTACAGCGGCGACGGAGGTGCGGAGGGCGAGCATGTGCACGCGCGGCATGATGACGGTGCGCACGATCTCAAAGTCCAGCGACGACACCAGCACTGCTGAGCGCCGCAGCGTCTCCTCCTGCAGCCGCGGGTCGGCGTCCTCGTAGGCGCGCACGATCATGGGCAGCACATGTGACATCAGGATGGCTGGTGACACCTGTGTTGAATACAGACACACGCAAAGCGCACACAGAAACATCCACCCCAGGTGGGGGAGACACAGGGGAAAATCAGAACGAGCAGAGAAAATAATAAACTAGAGAATGGTGAGTGAGTGGGATGAGCAGTGTCAGTGACGGTGAGAGCCCTGGAGGGGCCACCACCTTGGGGGAGCTGTAGCCCACCTTGGAGACGATAGCAGGGAGGTGCTTGATGAAGAGCAGCAGCACGTCGCCACCCGCATGCTCCATGGCGGGCAGCAGCAGCGTCTGAGTGCGCAGCTCAAAGTCCTGTGCGTCCTGTGCCTCCGCCACCTCCAGCACCCACGGCAGCGCCAGCAGCTGCGTGGCGGGGTTCTTCAGCTCCTCTAGCAGGGCCGGCAGCACCTTGAAGCGCAGCACTCGGCTGTCAAACCCCGCCCATATGCTGTGCAGCGACTTCAGGAACTCCACCCTCGCGTTGTTGTCCCGACCCTGTGGGCATGAGGGTAGGGTGCACGATGGGAGGTGGGTGAGGACCGAGGGGATGGTGGTAGGGTGGGTAGTGGGTTGGGAATACGAGGGTAGGGGGAGAGGAGGGTAACGAGAGAGGAGGGCTCTGGTAAGTATGAGAGAGGACACATAGAGCTCAGGGAAAAAACAAATGGGCAGCAACCAAGGAAGGGTAACAAGAGACAAGAGGGGCGAATCGTACAATCATTTGGTCGAGGAATCTGAGGGCTCGCAGGCGCATGTCCTCCGTGAAGAAAGGTGACGCTGCAGAGCAGGGTGCATGCATGGGAGGAGAGGGGGCAGTGGTGGGTTGGATGGAGGGGAAGAAAACAGGCATCCGCCGCCCAGGGCAATGGAAGAATCAATGCCCGTTGAGGAGGAAGAGAATGACAGGAGCAGGTAACAGCCATGGCTTCGGGGAAGGGTGAGGAAATGGGGGAAGGCTGACTGACCGGCGAACTCAGAGGCGGTGGGGCGGGCGGCGGGTTCAGGGGCGAGCATGCGGCGCAGGTCCGTCTCGAGCTCCATGGGTATGCCCGCCAGTGACTCGGTCCTCAGCCCCGCCACCCTGTTGTTGTACTGTCGTGCATATGGGTCGGACATACAAGGGTGAGTGGGAGTGCAGGGAAGGAGACGAGATGGGCAACGAGACAGCCACCATTGTTTAAGCTCTCATCCCAACAGCACGTTAATCTAAGAAGGACACATACGACTGGCTGACTGCTGTACCCACGGCTGCTGCAGTGCAGCACTCACGGTGCGCAGGTTGTTGTTGGCGTGCACGAGGCGGCGCCGCGCAATGAGCTGGAAGGCGAGCAGCGCGAGGGAGAAGACGTCGACACTGGCCAGCGCGTCCCGGGAGGCGGCAGCGGAGGAGCGGTTGATGGTGGGGCGCCGTGTGAGCTCCGGTGCCACGTAGTCCAGCAGGGGCTGCAAGGGCAGCACCTGGTCGTCCACGTCAAAGTCCTGGTCGATGGTGGGGGAAGGGGAGGTGAATGGGAAGGGGATCATGGAGAAGGGGGATTGACGGGTGGGAAATCACGAAGGGAGGGATGTGGTGGGAGGATGATGACAGGTAAGGATGATGGGTGCGAGCATGACGTGTGCAGCATGATGTGTGCATGGATGATGTGTGCAGTGCAAGCACGGCGGGTGCGTGCATGGTGCATGCGAGCACTGACAGGGTAGAGGAAGGCGGGTTCATCGGGGTCGGGCTGTTGGTCACCGGGCACGGAGAAGCCAAACCCAGCCAGCTTCCACCCGCCATTCTTCGTGATGAACACTGTCTGCGCACCACAGTGCGTGCAGGGAGGGGGGGAGAGGGAGGGTAGGGTAGGAGTGCGCCGCATGCAGCATTAGGACCACAACAAGAACACCAGGGTCTCATGCGCAGGGAGATTCACCGTGGGTCTCATGAGAATAACGAGGCGAAGCATCAAGTCTGAGATGCTCTTCCTGACGTTTCTAAGATCGACTGTGCAGACGCACGTGCAACGTTGAGCCCCAGGAGACGCACAGGATGGCTTGGCACCCACAAGTTGCACACGATGGCTGGGGTGGTACCTCGGGGTTGATGCCGCGGTGGATGATGTTGGCGTTGCGGTGGATGAAGCTCAGCGTCTCCGCCAGCTGCATCAGCCCGTGCTTCACCTCCAGCTGCCCCAGCTCCAGCTTCTCCAGCTCATTCGGGATGGTGGAGAGGTTCTCGAGGTTGCCGAGGGCGTTGGCGAGGGAGGAGAAGACGGGCTCCGTGACCATCGCCATGGCCCACTTGCTCTCGTCCAGCGCCTCCACCACGCGCACGATGCCCGGGTGCCGCAGCTTCTGCAGCACCTTCGCGTCCGCGCGGAATATGTCCAGCAGTCGGTCCTCCGCCGCCTTGCTGCGCGCGGGAGCGGGGGAACAGCGCGAAGTGCGCGAGGCGCGGGGAGAAAGGGCCAACGAGCGCAGATACGGGAAAGGGGTTGCTGGGAATGCGTGTCCGACACAGGACCGAGCAACGGAAAGCAGAACGTGCATTTACGATCGCTGACGAATCTACCCTGCTCTGCTGTTCCTGTTCCCCCTCCCCACCCTCCGACGGACCTCATGCCGCGGTGCGAGCGCTCCTCCGAGAGCTCCTTCTTGTCGAGGAACCACACGCACACCTCCGACGTCACCGTCTGCTGCGCCTTGCTCTTGGGCGTCGCGCGGTACAGCTTCCACAGCATGCCCGGCCCGCCCGACCCGATCTGCGCATCCAACATGCGGTGTTTCTTCGATTACAGGTGAGGAACGGCTGGAATTGAATGAAGGCTCAAGACGGATCAAGGGCGGAGAACGCACCTGCTCGCCGAGGTCATAGTCGGCCAACGCCTTGGGCCCTGTGACCTCCTGAACCGTGCTCTGGCACGCACAGGCAACAGCGAAACGCAGGTGGACACTCAGACATTGATACCGCAGCAGCTAACCCTAATTGCATCGATGCTGACGTCAGAAATATGGCCAGACCCGAAATATGAAGCAGAGAAGGTTATACCGCAGGGGACGGAAGGCCCAACACACCTGGACGGTTTTCTCTATCGAAGCGGCGGTGCTCGCTAGGATCTTAGAGAACCCCGACAACATCTTGACGTTCAAATTCCGATCTTTCGTAAACTGTATGATCTAGCTAGAAAACGATATTCCTACTTAGCACAAGTTCCTGTCCATTGAGCCCTTGACTTCAGGAATCGCGTGACAATGCTGCTGGCCAACTCCAGTGTGCACAGAGCACCTACCCACTAGTCCCATGAAAAGCACCACGGAAATGGCACGTACTGGCTTGGCAGTCTGAAAGCTACCCATTCCCGCCAAAAGCAGTGACGAGTAACCGATACTAATCTGCTGTGAAAGTTTTTTAGGCATGTGCAATTTAAGATACGCAGAAAAACCAACACTCAAACCCAGAAACAAACTGCTTTTGTTTATACTAAAGATTCAGAGACTTTAGCAGAACCCGAAGCTGTTCGTTTGTGGCACTTTACGTTCGGGCCTGACCAAGCCCGCGAAGCTCGCTTCCTCGAGTTCCTTGTAGTTTGCAGCACAAAGCCACGTGGACGACTATTTGTTGGTGCAGAAATTGTTGGAAGAGGGGTGATTGGTTTTACCGGGTTGCAGAGACAATAAGTATACCAGGTTGACCTCAATCTTGTGTGAATGGCAGCCCAATGTCATTGGCCAGCCCTTCTGACAAGTGGGGACAACAAAGATCTGCGACCTTCTACAACCACTGCCAGTAACAGAGGCGAAGGGATTCTCGCGTATTTCGTTACAAAATTGCGATGCACCGAGGGCCATTGGATCATATGTTACAGTAGGTTCTTCTCAAGCTCTTCGTCAAAACCTCCCCCTGCCCCGCAAAAGCGCCGCTTGTCAGATTTTCTAACCAAATCAGCTCACCCCGCCAGACCCCTCAGCATCCTCACAGTCCCACAACGTCTAACATTCCCCCAAGCCTCTGCAATAGATGCTACACCAAACCGCTCTTGCCTGGGCTAGGAGGTTCGTTTCTGTCTGCGAATCTACGCCAACCAGTTGTTTTGCCACGCGAGGGTGCGAACCTTTTTTCCCGCGAGTGAAATCGAACAAGCAGGGTAATAATCTGAACGTTAGGTTGGTTCGGAAGAGTTTCCAAACCTTTCGCCGCTCGCGGTTAGCCATCCATTTGGTTGGGAAGCTGGAGCGGTTGGGCGAACCTAGGTAAGCCTTGGTGGAGTCTCTCCAGTACCATGCGAGGCCTTTCCCAACTCGTTCCCACGCATTTTCGAGGGCCACCTCGTTTCCGAATTCCAACCTCATTTGCCTCATCTGAGCAGAATTCACCAGCCTTGTCGCCTCGCAACTCGACATTTTCAGCCTTTTCAGCTCCAAATGCCAATAGCTACTAGTTCCGTCAGAACCGATGGCCTCTCCTGATTTCTGTCCCAGCTTGATTCAGGACGCGAGTGTTCCCGCAGTTAATTTAGGAAGCGAAGGAGTGTCTCGTTCGGCAGCCGGAGAATGGAATTAAGCTGATGCAGAGCATGGTAATTTGTAGCGACGACTCCGAGCTTCAAGATTGAGCTTTCCGAGCTTCCGAAGGGTTGAGCTGTTGTGCGTAAGGCGGAAATGAGAAGCGCGGTACGATTTCGTGTAAGTTGCGGTATCACGGAGCATCGTTCAACATCGAAGGCAGGCCGAAAACAAACGAGCATGGAAAGGCGGCCATGGGTGATAGAATATACTAACACGCATGGTGAGTTTTTCACACGCATCCGTACAATTATTCTCTCACATGAACTGTCAGCTTTTATTTCAGCGTCGGAACTTCACTCACATATACGTCTTTCTGTGACTCCCCTTGCGGTGCAGGCTACCTCTACAATGCCACGCTGCGTGTGCACGCCTGGCAGCACCAACTCCGCTTGCGCCTGGACGGCCTTGCTGCAGTCGCTGACGAAATTGCTGCATCCTCGGACGAAATTGTTGCATTCGCGGACGGAATTGCTGCATTCGCGGACGAAATTGTTGCATTCGTGGACGGAATTGCTGCATTCGCGGACGAAATTGTTGCATTCGCGGACGGAATTGCTGCATTCGCGGACGAAATTGCTGCATCCGCGGACGGAATTGCTGCATTCGCGGACGAAAATGCTGCATTCGCGGACGAAATGGCTGCATCCGCGGACGGAATTGCTGCTGTGGCTGTGGCTGCATCCAGAAGTTTTTAGCTGCATCCAGAAAAGGCGGTAACGGGGCTTCAGCTTTCCAGCTAAGTGTTTCCTCCTCCTTGGCCGATACCTTTTGTTTTCAAAAGCTCATCATTCAGCTTCATGTATTAGTCTCCGAAATTCGCCACTGGTTGGGTGTGATTACATGCCACAGACCCCCTTCTTTCAGGTATTTCCCTCCAGCTGCAGGTACCCCTCAGGTATTATTTGTAGAGCCCCTGCAGGTTCCCTTGGGGTCTGTGGCGTGTGGTCGTGCCTCCTCAAGTGGCGCCTCCCTCATTCTTCCAGACGTAGCAGTTTCCAGTGTGTGGCTTGTGCTACTGTCCATTTCAAGCAACCTGACCTCTGCCGTGTGTGTGCCTGGCAGGTGGAGGGGAGGGGCGCGAGGGTCAACACCGACGCTACTCCACGCTCCTCTCCGGTGGCCGTGCAGGGACGCGCACGGGGAGGCTGGGAGGAGGAAGGCATCAGCTCTGCATTATTCCAGCTAAGTGCTCTCTCCTCCCTGGCCTTGCCTTTTGCTGCTGATTGCTTCGTTTTGTGTCCTTGTTCTGCACGTGCTTCAGTTTGTTCTTTGAAATCTCGCCACTGGTTGGGCCCGCTCTCAAGCTTTAGACCCCTCCCCCACATTCCAGGTTTGCCCTCAGGTTCCCCTTTTCTAGGTTCTTACAGCCCCCCAGGTTCAGCCTCTCAGGTGCCCCTGGGGGTCTACGGCTTGTTGCGGCGCCTCCACCAGTGGCCCCTCCCCTCACTTATCTTGTGGAATGTGCTGTCTCTGCTGCAACACCACCGTTCATCCCCTCACTCTCCACTCACCAGCTCTGCTTGTGCCTTTGCAGGTGGAGGGGAGGGGCGTGGGGGTCAACACCGACGCTACCTCGCGTCCCTCCCCGGTGGCCGTGCAGGGACGCACACGGGGAGGGCGAAAGTACTGCAGCTGGCACAAGGGGGAGTATGGGTTGGGCTTGGCCTCTCAAGGTACGTTAGCTTCCTCCTTGGACTCATCTCTCCCCCCCTCAAGTTCATTGCTGCTGTTGCTCTCTCTTCACGTTTTGCATGCTGGTCTCTGTCTTATTCAGTTTCGTCTTAAGTGCCATTCTGACAACTCAGCACTTCTCCTGCCCCTCTTCTCCTGTGCCCCCCCTCCCCTCTCTTTCTCTCCAGCACCAGTTTCAAGGGAAGGATGCAGCAGAGGTAGCTGAAAAGCAGACTGGCAGCACCAGTTGCAGCAGCAGCGGTCGCAGCGGTCCCAGCGGTCACAGAGGGTGGGGGCTGGGAGGGCGACAGCAGCTGCCACGAGGGAGAGTATGGGGATGGGCTTGGCCTCTCAAGGTACGTTAGCTTCCTTCCTGGCCTCATCTCTTTCCCCCTCAAGTTCATCGCTGCTGCATCTGTCTTCTTGTTTTGCATGCTCGTACTTGTTTTATTCAGTTTCACTTCCGTGTCTGTCTTGAAACTCACTTCTCCTCCTGCCCCTCCTCTCTTGTGCCCCCCTCCCCTCTCACTCACCCCGCTACCAGGTCACTCAGCATCAAGCGAAGAGTGCAGCAGATGTAGCTGTGAAGCAGACCGGCAGCAGCAGAAGCAAACGTGCAGCGGTGGGGGGTGGAGGGTTAGAGGGCAACCCAGGATAGGAGTAGTTGTGAGCGAGGTGTGGTAAGGTGAGGTACAGTACAGGTAAGGTATGGTATGGTAAAAGGTAAGGTATGTTTTCATCCCCTCCCTCGCTTTCTCCTCCCTCTTCCTCTTGCAGGCTGAGGGTGGGAGCTCTGGAGCAAGGCCAGGAGAGTGAAGGCCAGCTTCTCACTCCCCTCCTCCACTCTCCCTCTTCCCTTCCCTCCCAGCAGCTCACTTCCTGGACCACAGTGGAGACCCGTCCCCCCTCCCCTTTAATCCCCCCTCCTCACTTCCCAGCAGCCTGAGGGTGGGAGCACTGGAGCAACACCAGGAGAGTGAAGGACAGCCTCTTACTCACCGCCTCCTCTCTCCCTTTTCCCTTCCCTCCCAGCATCACCCTTCCTGGAGCACAGTGGAGTGGAGTCCCGCCCCCCTTTTAACACCCCACTTCCCACTACCCATCAGCCCCAGACATCATGGCGCTCTGCACTGCACGGCTGTGGTAGGTACAGGTACGAAGGCATGGGGGTGAAGTGTGGTGTGGGTGGGTGGGGGAAGCATGGGAGCAAGTGGGGAGTTCACTGCCTTAGGGGCAGCATCCTCTGGAGTTGTGGCTTGTGGTTTGGGTGTGTGGTTGGTGGAATCTTCGCGGCACGGCACTCGGTGCTCAAGTAACTGATCCGGCGTTTAAGGCTTAATGGACACCGTCAGAGTCGACCGGCCGGCGACTCTGGTTCGCGTCAGCTCTAGCTACGTCGGGGGTGGGATTTGAGTCTTGGGCTGGAAGCGATTTTTCACTGCCACACCTTGACCCACAAGTCAGAGCCCCTGGGGGTGCTGTTCTCGAAAGGGAGTGGGCTGTCTGCTGCTCCTACTGCTGCCAGGTGAGGATGGGAGGGGCTGGGTGGGTTGGATGGTGATGGTGGTGAGAGGCAGTGGGATTGGTGGAAGAACATGTATGCGTGATGGTCATGCTTGGTTGGTGGCACATGATGAGCCGTAAGGCAGTGATGCCACCTGTTGCATTGCATGAGAGCATGATGCTCATGCGTGCAAGTGAAATGGGCTGAGTCCCCTTCGGTGGCTGAGTGCAAGTGAAGGGGGCTGAGTCCCCTTGGGTGGGTGAATGCAAGTGAAAGGGGCTGAGTCCCCTTGGGTGGGTGAGTGCAAGTGAAAGGGACTGAGTCCCCTTGGGTGGGTGAGTGCAAGTGAAAGGTGCTGAGTCCCCTTGGGTGGGTGAGTGCAAGTGAAAGGGGCTGAGTCCCCTTGGGTGGGTGAGTGCAAGTGAAAGGGGCTGAGTCCCCTTGGGTGGGTGAGTGCAAGTGAAAGGGGCTGAGTCCCCTTGGGTGGGTGAGTGCAAGTGAAAGGATATGAGTCCCCTTGGGTGGCGGAGTGCAAGTGATAGGGACTGAGTCCCCTTGGGTGGGTGAGGGTGTTGAGAGACAGTGTGGTTGGTGAAAGAATATGAACGCGTGATTCTCATGCTTGGTTGGTGGCACATGATGAGATGTGCCGTATGGCACTGATGCCACCTGTTGCATGAGAGCATGATGCTCATGCTTGGTTTGTGGCACATGATTAGCTGTATGGCTCTGATGCCACCTGTCTCAGTGGTTGATGTAGTGGAATGAGGAGAGAGGGGGGCTGAAACCCCAAGAGGAAGGTGGGTGAGTGGTGGGATGAGGAGAGAAGGGGGCTGAAACCCCCGCAGAAAGACGGGTGAGTGGGCTAGGGAGAGAGGGTAGCTGAAATCCTTTGAGGATAAGGAGAAAGGGGGTTGAAACCCCCAGAGGAAGGTAAGTGAGTGGGATAAGGAGAGGGGTTGAAATCCTTTGGCATGTACTACTATGGCCTGTCATCGTGTGGCATGTCATGGTGTGGCATGTCATTCTGCAGGATGTCATGTTGGGGCACCTGATTTTGCAGGATGTCATGTTGGGGCATGACATAGTGTGGCACGTCATGGTGTGGCATGTCATGGTGCAGGATGTCATGGTGTGGCATGTCATGGTGCAGGATGTCATGGTGTGGCATGTCATTATGTCATGCTATCAGTGGCATCGACATTTCCCAGGCTGCATCCTTGGCTCATAACTTGAGCAAAAACAGAATCAATGATGAGGTGAAGTAGAGGCTAAGAGGAGAGTATCAGGGGGACAGAAATGGGTAGAGTTGAAGTGGTGTTGGATCACTTACAGTTCCGTGTTCTAATCTCCTTCCTGTCAACCACCACATGTTCTCTGACTGATAGTGTTTTTATGTTTTATGATAGCCAGCATTTGGTGTTTGTTCCATCAATGCTGCCACCGAGGATCTTACATCCTAAGCACGGGCAGTTTTCTCGATTCCAGGTTGATATAAAGAGCCAACAAACGGAGGAAAATTGGGCCATTACTGTCATGGTTTCCTTCAGAGCCAGTTTGCATTTTTTATGACATGTAGGTAATCTAGTTGACGTGGCATAAGATGTCCAATCGAATGCTACTAGTGCCATGATAACTTTTGGCATGAATGAACTCCTTAAGACACTTCAATTCTTTGTGCCTTCAGTAATGACCGAATCGAACACTAATAATGATATAGATTGTGAAAGCTTGCGGTTTGCCTTGCAAATGCAACGTCTCATTTCAACTGGGTGGTACATGATTTTATCGTCCAAGCACAGTACAATATACAAGTTCTAAGATCAACAATCCGTACAAGGGTGGGAGGGCGGGGAACTTGAAAGTTGAAAGATCGGAATGAAACGTGGGTGAAGGCCAAATGGCCTTCGCCCCACTTTTGTACCAAAGAGAGGGGGAAGTAGCGGTTCGCCGAAGCTTTTGCTTCGGTACAACTCGCTTCGCTATTCACAGTACACAATTTTGGAAAGTGTTACACACTTTCAAAAGTTTACATATATGAAAACAGAGCATGTGACTATGTAAAAGATGCACGTGTCAGATTCAGTGCTTGGACAAAGAAAACTTTATACTCGTCATGTTACTATGAACAACTACACTTGATGTTCTTGGATGGGTTCTTATCTTGAAGTGCTGGGGCACCCTGACGAATCAGGCTTGCGGAAGCCCGAGTGTTTTCGGGACTGTGCCGCGCGGCTGAGACACAATCTCCCGCCGTTAGCGGTTAGTTGGGTTTGGTGGTGGCGAACTTCAGCAAAACTCCGACGTGTGCAGCAACATTTCTCCCATTTCACCCCACCTTCCTCTAGTGATTGAAGCCCTGTCTCCCCCATTCTTGGTTGTTGGTCTTACACATTCTCACATTTCAGCTACCCTAGCTGAGTGGACGAGTTTCCTTTTCCCAGCGTGCACCGGCATTTTTGGAGACTGTAGTAATCGATCGCAGGCGCCATGGTTAGTTGATGTTTTTCTTGTTAGCTGCATTTGCCGTTTTCGGCATTTATGCAGTTCATGACTAACGGCGTTTTATAATGGCTCGTTGTACAGGCCAACGCTCGTTCTGGTATGGCGGTGTCGGAGGAGTGCCTGGTGAAATTCTCAAGTCTCCAGAAGAAAAAGGCTTACCGCTTCATTACCTACAAGATTGAGAAGGACCAGATCGTAGTGGACACCTTTGGAGCACCTGACAAGACCTACGCTGACTTCCAAGCTGCTCTTCCTGAGAGTGACTGCCGTTATGCGGTTTTCGACCACGAGTTTGTTACAGACGACCACTGCCACAAGAGCAAGATTTTCTTCATCGCCTGGTAAACCCGTCAGCTTTTCAGATCTGCCACATACTCGCGCACTTCATCGGATTGTGAACCATTTGTCTGAACGTTTTATTTTATTCTTCTTCCCAGGTCTCCTGACACGTCAGCTGTGAAGAACAAGATGATTTACGCCAGCTCGAAGGATACCTTCCGCCAGCAGCTTGCCGGTGTGCAAATTGAGCTTCAGGCAACAGATGCGTCTGAAATGGACCTTGATATCATTAAATCGAAGGCACTCAGGTAAAATCCTTGAATGCTGAATCGCGTAGGTCTAGGGTTATGACGCCCTAATGCTTGCAGTGAGGTAATGCTCTCCTAGACTGTCCATTAGCTTTTGCGGAACCTGCCCTGGTTACATTTGTTTATGTTGTGAAAGGCGTATTTCTTATTACCGTTCAAGACTTGGTTAGACCTGCACACGTGAGTAGCTTGCAAATCCCACAGTTTGGCATGTACGTGTAGCCTTGAACGTGAAGTTCAGAGAAGGAGCATGTGTATCCGTGCTTGTGCGGACATGGGATTCTACCGTACCTCTCCCACCACAGCTGGAGAATTTGGTTGGAGCAGAAACTGTATATCAGTTCTTTGAACATGCAGGACATGGGATTCTACCTCTTCCTCCACAGCAGGAGCATTTGGTTTTCTGATCTGAAACTACAGACGTCTTAGGTGTCTTAGGTGGCTCCAGTTCTGGAGTACCAAAAACTGGCAGCTGAAACACATTTGCCTGTTTGCTGCAAGCTTTGCACGGCAAGTATCCAACTCCCCCACATCCCTCGCAAACACCAAGATCCCTGAAATGGGCACAAGAGGTGATGTAGGTATGGTGGTGTCGGAATGGAGGAAGTCGTTCAGAAAAGCAGGAATGGGAAAGATGATTCATGGCAAAACGAGGTGCAGGCATAAGCTGATTGAAAATTGCAGGGAAGGGGTTGCATTAGATACCACCTTTTGTCTCGCATTCAGCATTATATGTGGAGTGATATCCACCATTCAGCATTGTTAGCTCCGAAATTACATCTTTTGGAGCATGCATACTCACCGCCGTTGAGCCCGCGCGAACCACTCGTCGACGCGTGGCGCGCTAGCCGCACACGCGAGGATCGCGGCTCCGAAGACGAGCCCCGCAATCTCGCTCTCCGTGAACGGCTGGAGCCACAGCAGCGTCGCTCCTATATCAGCAATACCTGACACGTAAGACGCGTCTGGCTGAATAGAGGCTACGTGCCCGTGCACGGACATGACATCCGCCACGCCTGGAGTGACGGTTTCAAGGTGAACCTGAATGCCTAAACGGAGGGGTGGCGGAGCTGGTAGCGATGTGGCTGACGAGAGCAACGACCTAAGTGGCGGAGCGAGAGACATCGCACTTGATCGAAGCGGCAGAGCGTGAGATAGAAGAGGTGTCACGGGAACGACGGCGAGTATCGCCATTGCGGCAGGCACGGGCAAGCGCACGGAGCACGGACCGGTGATGCTGAATGGTTGGAGGAGAGTGAGGAGCTAGATTGTGGAGGTGGTGGAGTCTTGCCAACAAGCGAACTTCGAGGGGAGGGCTAAATCTGAACATGATCAAGGTGTTCAATAAAATTTGAAAAGAGGTGGGTCAAAATCGGTGGAATGAGAAACGAGAGCGTCGTTAGCCGGTACCGCGTACAAAGCCCTTCGACCCTGCCAGCTAAACCCTCATCCTGGATTGTTCCCTCCCATGAGTGGCGACCTTGATCCTGAATGAATTTGTACAACTTGAAAGGTTGCTATCACAACCTCAGCAAGCTCTGTCAGCTTTCCTCGCATCGCCACCCAACCCTAAGGTCGCCATGCTTCAGACTAGCTTCGCCACGTCACAGCAGCATCACTGTCCTTCACACCTACCTAACGTCGTTACAAGCAGGGGTGTCGTCAGCACCCACTCCTTTCACACCGTCAAATTCCCTCCATGCTGGTCGTGTGTTCCGGTGCCTGCACGCGCTCCTCTAACCGCCGTAGCATCCGCTCGCTATTCCCGTGCCTTTCGCGGCGAACCGCAACGTCTCTGCGATAACCAGCTGCAATGGGGAATCATACAAAAGAAGACAGGAATGCGAGCTTTGCGGCGGCTTAGACCACGTGCTGTTAAGACGGCTGGCGAGCATGAAAGCGGGAGCGGTAGCGTCGAGGGAGGAGGGGAGACGAGTGGAGTAGAACCTGTAGCTCGGGAAGGGCTGGGGGCGGAAGGGGGGTTGTCAGCTGTTGGCTCGGGACGGCGAAGCAGGCGCCGAAGCAGAACCAGTGGTTCGGATGATTCCTGTTCGGGAAAAGAGGAACCGCGAGGACCAGGAAGTTCGGGGAAGACGGGAACCGTTGGGCGGCGCAAGTGGCTGCCGAAGGAGCCTGGAGTAGTGCAAGGCGTGAAAGTGGATCCTGATGATCGAACGGTTGAGAAGCACCAGGGAGAGGCAGATCAACGGTCAGGATGGGAGGCAGCGCAAGAGCCGCTCGAGGCTGCGTCGTTTAGCGACGATGATGAGTCATTCAGGGGGAAAAGCGGAACCGGAGAGGTCGTGAGTGAGATAGCAGAGGCGGCTGAATACCGTCGCATGGAGCGAAGCTTCGGGGAACGAGCGCAGGAGATGGATCCGGAGGAGCTTAGGCTGGCGAGGCAGCGGGTGGCCGATCTTATTCGTGCCGGGGATGACGTGGAACAGGTGAGAGATGACGTGGCACAATCGTCAGGATCTTGTGTGTTCAGGCAGAAAGCCCCACCCCTTCTCCCCTCTCTCCCCTAGTCTCCCGTTGGTTCAAAAGGACAACGTTGGCCGCCCTTGTGTCAACCTGACCTGACTAACCATATTCCACCCTTTTGTCTGGGACGCCTGGTGCATGGGACGCTAAGTGCATGGGATGCTGGGTGCATGGAATGCTGGGTGCATGGGATGCTGGGTGGGTGCATGGGATGCTGGGTGGGTGCATGGGATGCTGGGTGGGTGCATGGGATGCTGGGTGGGTGCATGGGATGCTGGGTGGGTGCATGGGATGCTGGGTGGGTGCATGGGATGCTGGGTGGGTGCATGGGATGCTGGGTGGGTGCATGGGATGCTGGGTGGGTGCATGGGATGCTGGGTTGGTGCATGGGATGCTGGGTTGGTGCATGGGATGCTGACTTGGTGCATTGGACCGTGGTTTGGTGCATGGGATGCTGGGTTGGTGCATGGGATGCTGGGTGGGTGCATGGGATGCTGGGTTGGTGCATGGGATGCTGGGTTGGTGCATGGGATGCTGGATTGGTGCATGGGACCGTGGTTTGGTGCATGGGATGCTGGGTTGGTGCATGGGATGCTGGGTGGGTGCATGGGATGCTGGGTGGGTGCATGGGATGCTGGGTTGGTGCATGGGATGCTGGGTTGGTGCATGGGATGCTAGGTTGGTGCATGGGATGCTGGGTTGGTGCATGGGACCGTGGTTTGGTGCATGGGACTCTGCGTTGGTGCGTGCAGGAGATTGTGCGGCTGGGCAGGGAGGGCGCGCTGAACGATGCGCTTGTCCTTGTGATTCAAAACCGACTCAACTTCGCCAGGCACGATGTGAGTGCTGGAGGGGATGGTTGCGCACGGATCGAAGTGATTGGGAGGGAGAACGGGGAAGGGGTTGTGGATTGATGTGCGTGGTGCGGTGGGGGGTGTTATTCATGTGAGTGGTGCTGTGGGTTTATGGGCTATTCCATGTTGATTCCTAAACCATTCTCCTGCCATCGCTCTGCTCGCCTCTCTGTGCCCTTGTGTGAGCAGAACGAGCGTCACGTTGTGCAATGCCTCGATCTCTTGCTGCGCCGCATCGAGGTCAGTCCACCTTCGTGCCACACATCCGTGCCATCCCATCCCATCCCGTGTCATGTCTGCTCCCTTGCTGATTTCCTCTGCTTGCCCCCCATGCTTGCCACGCCATCCGAAGCCGTGCGATGCACTCTGCCATTCACCTTTGCATGACCTCCTCCTCCACCTCACGCCGGATTGGGCCTACCAAATCTCTCCAAGTGCTACCACTCTATAGCCTCTCCTCATCTGCACCCTCCCATCTGTTGCCTTCTCCCTGCACCTCCTGCTTCCTGCAATTCTCTGTCTCTCAATGGCCCCTCGCCCTCTCCCACCACAGGCAGAGAGGGAGGCGCAGCAAGCCACACCCGCCCTACGCCTCCTCAACACCCTCCTGCACCTTGCCGATGACCTCAGCGCTGACATCAGCACCTCCGGCTATGACCAATGGCAGCGCGAGGCGCGCGATGCCATGAGGGCAGTGTTTCTGCCGGAGGACCCGTTCACGGTGGTCATGCCGATGGTGAACGGCACAGACGCTCCATCAGCATCAGCCCCATGGGTATGTGCCGCAGGCTGTTTTTTAGGCGCCTCAAAAATCGATGCCATGAGAGCAGTGTTTCTGCTGGAGGACCCATTCACGGTGGTCATGCCGGTTGGGAATGTCGCAGACGCTTTATAAGCATCCTCCTCATGGGTACGTGCCGTAGGCTGTAGCAATGTGGATATTTTTAAGCGGTAACACTGTGAATATACCTGCAAGACGTTCACTTTGACTGTTCCTACCGTACCATTGTGTCCTCCCGTTAAAATCCTCTCTGTCTTGCCTTCATCTCCTGGCAATTCTGCCTGTTCAGAATGACCTCGGTGGTACGGCTGATTTGGGCGCAAGCATGGGTGGTGAGAGCACGCTTCTTCGAATCGACTTTATCCGGGAGCTGGAGGAGCTTTTAGAAATTGTTGAAGCTGATGCTACAGCTGCTGCTGAGGTTATCACCGAAACTTTCAACTTCCCCCTTGACGGTCCAACAGAATTAGAAGTTAACGGCAACACAGTTATTGAGGAAGATGGGGGTTCATGGGGCAACCTCGATGCCGACAGAGTGGCATTGAAACTACGCCTAGAGGAGCGATTTCGTATTATCAGCCGTGTTAGAGACCTTCAGAGGATTGCAGCTACTTTAAATCTATAATCTCGCACTTTTCTGTTGTACTTTTATACTAAGCGAGTCAGCTGCCCTTCGAGTTTCAGAACAGTGTCTCGACGAAGCCTAGTCAGGCATTGCTCCCCCGACCGCTACGTTGGCGCCAAACTGCCAGTTAGTGCTGCGCACCGCTGGGCTGGAACGGCAAAACCGGTGAGCTTTGATAGGCGCAGCCCCAGCTCAACAGAAGCGAGGTTACCACAAACCCTATAGGCATTTCGGCGAATCCTAATCAACCACTCGAGAGCGGCGGTACCGTCGTCAAACTTTTCGTGACAGCTCATTTCGCGAACACGCTTCCAGGAGAAAGTCAGCTTCTGTATTCTTTTCGGTCAAGCATTCGTTGGGCGACGATGAGGCAAGGGGTAAAGACAGGTTAGCATTGTGGTCTGTCTGTTCATCACACAGGCTAAGGGGTAGGGTGGTGCTGCCGATCTTTGGTCGGGCATTTGTTGTTCCATTTGCCTCGCAGGAGCTTCCTGCAGGCGATTGCCAGACATCAGGCCTGTCGTTTCGTTTTGCCCCCCCCCGGACAGATCAGGGGGCCCGGCATGTATGACCCTGTATTTATCAGGGTTGGGGCGAATCTCGGCACTTAAGGCTTCAGGGCTGGGAAATATTCCTCCCTTGAATCAGGTTTGGCGCGAAAAAATCGGGAGCCTCATTTCAATACCAAGCTTACAACTACGTTTGAGATGAACCACAAGCAAGCAAACACGACATAAAGATAAACAAGATGGGGAAATACACTTTGCAGAACCGATGATCGTCTGCACTTCTACTACCCAACCTTCAGGGTACTGCACACTTCTTCCCAACCTTAACCGTCCCACTCCACAGAGAGCGAGCTGTGATTGGTTTAAGCACAAGTTCTTGGCTGAGTTGAATTTGTGGCCCAGCCAAGCAACTCGAAATTTGCCTTGTTGGATGCAATCAGGTTAAAACGAAGGGGAGAGGAGAGGGAGGAGTGTTGGAGAGGGGAGGGGGGGGGGGGGGGGGGATGGGGAGGGGAAGGGGGGTCTCGGAAGATTTTTTCCAGGGGTCGCCTAAAATACCCTAACACACCGGGCCTAAGCCCAAAATCAGCTTTGTAAAGAATCAGGGCCAGAATATTTCCAACCCATCAATTTCAGTTTTCAAGGGAAGCCCAGCCCTGGAATTCAAGGTCCAGCAGGGCAAACGCACTGCAAGCGACAGCCTTGCCAGACATACATTTCTGGACGGACTGGTGCTGCTGCTCCTTCAGGTGTTTCCTGTCGTGCACGAAACCCACAGTTTTCTTTCTTCTCGTCGTCCCCTGTGTCTACGCGCAAGTTAGTCGTTCCTGTGATATACCTGATGCGCGTTAGAGTCCCCCAAAGGTCCCTTGTCCTCTGGGCTTATAACCGATCTCCGCTTTTCGCGTAGTTCGTCAACATCGCCTGGGCCGTCGGGTGCTTTTAAAAGGCACAGGCTGTAACATGTTTGTTTTTTCCATTTACAGTGTTGGGCGGCGTCCTTTGTTGCGAGCTAATGCACTGGGTTACCACTTTTATCGAGACCTTGCTATCACATGCAATTACAATTCACCTCTCCCTTCATCACAAACATCAATGAACCAATGGGATAGCCACAACTGTCCCCTTGACCCACCCACCCCCCCCCCCCCCACCCCCGCCCCTGCAATGTAATGCAATTACCGTTTACCACATGTGTGCATGAGTCGTGCACACTTGTGCAAATGCGGAAATTTGCACCCATTCAGAGTGGATTTCACAGCCTCATCCACTCTGCCGCAGCGAGATAGCCGCTCATCACGGCGGGAGCGCCAGCGTCGATAAGCTCCTGCCGGCGAGCAGACTGGGCAATCCAGTCAGGGGTCGGCACCGTCATCCATGCCGACAGAACGCGACCGCGGCGACGTGGAGTCTCTGCCTGCGGGGTGTCCTCGTGCGTCGGCGCTGGCGGCGGAGTAGCGTTAAGGTTAAGTGCCGGGCTTGCGCGCTCCATCCGCGCGATGATCAGGGGGTTGCGGATGTCAAATAGCGCGCACAGATCCCTCGGCGTGATGCACGTCGCACGCGCGTACCCAATGAGCATCTCGCAGGCGGCGTGTGCCGTGCGACGTGCTTCGCGCGTCGCTGGGTTGTTATCGTCGTACACCGCTTGCATCGCCGCAGGCGCCTCCCACATATGCGCCGTCTGCGCCGACGCCGGCTCCCGCGCCAGGGGGTCCTCGCCCGGCTCGGCGCACGTCGGCTGGTTGTCATCAATTCCGACGAACTCTGCCGCAGGCATAGCGGACGGCCCGAGGCAGAGGCGATCGATTAAGACGCCGACGTCATTCACCTCCTCATCCAGGCCAATGTCACTGCCAGCCTGGACCTGGGGGGCAGCGCTCTGTTCCACGTGCGGGAGTTCCATCGCCCACGCCCGCGGAAGGCACTCGGTGCGCCACCAGCAGCGCTGGATAGTGCTCTGCGGGATATTCATCCACGCATCATGGAGCCACTCCAGCACAAGACGGAGGTTCGGCTTGAACCTTGCAGCGGCGGAAGTCGCGCCGTCAGCAGTCCACATGCCGGTGAAGGCGCGGAGCCAATGCTGGCGGTACCGCGCCTTCGTCATGGCGATCATCCCTGGTCGAGTGGCTGCGTGAAGCAGGTGGTGTTAGGCGGCAGGTAAACCAGGCGCACGTTATTGAGCTTCCGCGTGCGGATGCCGAAGAGGTCCTCGGTTTCTGCGCCCTCGGTTGTCAGGGTGTGACTGCTCGCGTTGTCGAGCAGCACGACGACCTGGTGGCCCTCCGCGTACATGGCGGTGTCCAGCTGCTCAAAGAAGTGCGTGAAGAGCTGCAACACAAGGGGTTTGGGGATAGATGCGGTAGGTAAGGGGCTTTGTCATGCTCACAAACATAGTGTTGATCGTGTACGATCTTAACGGGGCCTTTTGAAGTTGTGAAAACCAACTCACGGCTTTGGTCATCCACCCCTTAGCGGTGTTGCGCCAGTAGCAATACTCCTCGGGGTCAAAATCCGGCCTGAAATCATGGGGCCGCTTAGCCTTGGAGATGACGAGCGGACGGAAGGCGTGCGTCCCCTCCGCGTTAACCAAGAAGCCGACGGTGAGGCGATCCTTTGGAACTTTCCGCCCAGCCGACCTGCCCGTGCCGTACGTTTTGCGAGGAAGCACGCTGATGTACAGCGCAGTCTCGTCAAAATTGAATGTATCACGCGGGCGCACGCCGAGATGCATGAGAAGCCGAGGAAGCTTCTCCTTAGTGGTTCGCACGGCGTTCAGATCCTGGTCGGCCGCCTCGCCGACCGCGCTCATGCACCGTACTCCCTGGCGGCGCAGCGCACGGCGGACCCAGCCGATGGAGCAACGGAAAGTCGGCGGAGCGCCGTTCGCACGCGCCATCGTGGCAACATGGTCGCGAATAGTGGCGAGGGTGAGCGGGACGCCAGCGAGGCCTGCATTGGCAATCCAGCGTGCCATCGCGCGCTCCAGATCGGGGTATGCCCCGCCGCGGACGCGAATGGCGTCCACGGCGTCATCGGGAATGTGCCATCGGTCGGCGCCTTTGAGAACGCGACCAATGGTCGAACGGTCGGGTCTCACACCAAAACGCATGAAACACCAACGCGCGAGGTCCACGTGGCGCAGCAGAGGGTTTGCCACATGTTGGGCACAAATGGCCCGCTTGATATGTAGCGCGAGCTGAGACCTATGGTAGAGACGAGGCATCTGGTGACTCGGTTAAGATAAGGAAACATGAATTGCAGTGCTGGTTGTCGAGTGGATTTATGCTGGTGCAATGGTGCTTGGATTAGTCAATGTGTCTCGAGAGTGTGCGAGGTTTCGCGCTTGGTGCGAACTGCGGCAGATGCACATGCATCTGCCGCCATTTGTAGATGTTGGGGGACAGGGTAACCACAGCCACGAACAGTGACGTGTGTTGTTTGCGGACTGTGAGGCGCACAAGGGGCATGTACCGAGCATTGGCAATGTACACGTGGCCATTTTCACACAAACACCAACTGTTAGGCGCACCTGGTTGATGCACAGGTGGCATGACGTAACATCAGTTTTGGGTGGCGACGTTTTACGAATTTTGACCTTCCATTTCGTAGCTTCTGTTTCTGACTTAAAAACAGGGACAAGGCCAAACGACTTTTTGCTGTGTTGCTCGGTTTGGGAGTATTCACCTGGTAGATGCAAGTGGTCTGAGGTGCTTATACCATAGGTGCAACACCAGGGCAAAAAACCCACGGGTGTAAGGTTTCCGAAATGTGCAGGGCTTTTTCGTGTGCAGGGGGTGAGCATCATGTGTATTCTCGGACACAAACAACCTCAGGCTCGTGTCCTGTCACTCCTGCGGTAATATGTGTGACAAGCACAAAACTGTACTTTTTTGCGAAGCGACTTAACGATTTGTGGATCGCAAGAATTTAGTAAATACTAGCAGTCAGCGTAGATAATCTAATTTATGCATCAACACATGTCGTACAAATTCTAGCTTTCCATGTCAATGCGACGAGCATAGTTTAACTTGTAAGACGGAGCGGCATGGCCGACAGGAAGAAGGAACGTGCGGTAGTAATAACCTCATTTGACTTCTTAACTCTCCTGCTTGCAATTAGTGCGTTAAATTGCATACCTAAAGCCAGCGCGTTTCACCATGGCACCCACCGTCAGTATTCGCGTCAAAATTGGGCCTCTGGCCACGTCGGAAAGCTCGCGCTCCGCGCGAAACCGCACAGCAGCAGCAGCGACTCGGAGTTATTAACTTATGGCCACAATGGCATTACCAGGCACGATTTGTTGGAGCGATTAGCGACGCCAGCTGTGCCAAGAGGTCCCCCTTCTACTCCGAAACCAGCGCCTGTTACGCTTGCCCAGTCACAGCGTGAGTGCTGCCTTTCTCACTTTTACTCTCGCGTTTCTCTCCATTCACCTTTGGTTAGAAACGTTTACGAGACAACCTTCGGTGAAAGCTTTCTGGAATACCGTGTGTTGTTCGCAAATAGTAACGCGAAGCCCTTTCCGCGTCGCCGTCACCCGCACCGCATTATTCCCCGCAGTGAACGGGTTGATCGCGCTGAACGCGGCGTGGCGGCTGTGGCCCGGCAATGGCAAGCGGTCGACCCAGTGCCGGCAGTGGACTGGGATCAAGTGCAACCCGCAAGGCATGGTCACTGCGCTGTGAGTCATTGCGTAGTTTCGCATGCTCCTGTGCCGAGTATACGCAAATGATTTGTTCTCTCACGGCGTCACAACCCTAAATTCTGGTACTTTTTCCTTTCCAAACTTGCTTCCTCTCGCCTGCGTCGTTCTGCCTGCAGCGCATGGGATGGCAACACCGCATCGACAATCATTGAAGGACCGATACCGCCTGTCATTGCCACTTTCACTGCGCTCTCCGTTCTGTAAGCACCGCAACAACTGTTTTATGAGCCACCCAAGTCTGTGTTCTACGCTGCCTAGGGTTTCTTACAGCCCACCGTCACTCCCAAGGCTTCCTGTGCTCATGTCTCTCGTTCCCATGCTTATCCACATGTGTGTGGAGGGGGGATGTGTTGTGACATTCGTGTGTGCATGCACTGCGCGCATGCGTGTTGCGAGCGTGCGTGCATGTCTGCATGCGTGTGTGCGCACAGCGCGCGCAAGAGTGTGTGCATGTGTGCGCGCGTGTGTGCGCATATGCATACATGCATACGTGCATCTGTGTGTGCTCACTCGCTGGGTGGGTGCGTGACTTCCCGTGCATCACTCCCCCCTGTCGCGTGCTGCATGCAGGGACCTCCCGTCCAACGCCATCAATGGAACCATTCCAGTGCGCACTTTCCAGCAACTCAAGCAGCTGCAGATACTGTCAGTCACACCTGCGCTCTGTACCAGCCTGAGCCACACACCGTCAGCCTGAGCCACACACCGTCAGCCTGAGCCACACACCGTCAGCCTAAGCGACACACCGTCAGCCTGAGCCACACACCGTCAGCCTGAGCCACAACCGTCAGCCTAAGCCACACAACGTCAGCCTGAGCCACACACCTTCAGCCTGCTTTCTTGCGCATGTGACCTGCGTTACTGTTAATTCATGACGTGATATCAGACTTCCTGTAGGTAGGGCCAACGAATCACAGAAAGAGAATGCCTTGAAACGAACAAGATAATGAATATTATGATTTGTGTTGGAGTTCCCTCCCCTCCTTCCTCTCTCCCTTCCCCCTCTAACCCCCCCCCCCCACCCTCCCCTCTCTCCTCTCCCTTCCGTCCTTAACTTCCCGTCCCCTCCCCTCCCCCTCGCCTCTCTCTGCCAGGGATCTGTCTCGGAATAACCTTGTGCCGCCCTTTCCAGCCCGCGCTTTGCAGTATATGACAGGCCTGCGAGTGCTGTGAGTGCCGTGTGTAATGCGCCTCCGTACTGATGCATGCAATGACTCCACGGGATGCACTCACAGCATGCTGCACTCACAGCCTCATGATACGGCATGGCAGGATAAATCATAGTTTCAATTCAGTGTTGAATCTCTCTCTGAGGATGTGTGCCAACGCACTCACAGCCCGTTCATGTGCTTGTTTCAGTGCCTGGCTGTGCCCTGCGGCCTCAGGAGGTGTGTATTGATCTGATAGTTGAACTTTATTGTAATGTACACCTTATGCCTGTACTGTACTGTACTACGTTATGCAGGGAAGCTACTGCCTTGGGTGGTTGTTGGCTACTGCTAGCATAGTCAGAATTACACCCACTGCATTGCACACCTGCTTCATGCCGCCTTTGTGTGACCCGAGCCTGCTCTCTGCTATCCCTCTATCGCTTCCCCCCTCGCCTCCCCTCCCCTCCCCTCTCCCCTCTTCCGACTTGCTCTCCTTGCCCCCCTCTCCTCTGTGTCGTGTCAATTCAACCGCCCATTTGTTCCGTCCTTCCCCTCCAGGAATCTGCATGGCCTGGGTTTTGGGTCGACTCAAAACTCGTCCCGTTCTCTCCATCTTTCCCCTGCAGGGATCTGCATCTCATGGAACTTGACAGCCCGCTTGACATGCTTGGTTACTCCACCGCCTTTCAATACATGTCTGATTATTGCTCCTTGCTGCTGCTTTCTCCCTCTCGCTCTCTCGCTTTGGTGTACCTGTTGCCCTCCTCTCATGTAGCATTATGCTCCTCTCTTCTTCGTCATACTTCTGTTATGCACATCACATGTCTGATTATCGTTCTATGCTGTGTTGTCCCTCGCGCTCTCTTGCTTTTGTGTAGCTGTTGTGTTCCTCTCATGCGGCATCATGCCGCCTGTTTCTTCACCGTACTTATGCTATTCACATCACATCTATCCTCCAACTTTCCCTTCTCCCACACGTTTCCTGTCACTTCACCTCCTTCCATGTCACTACAACCACCTTCACTCACTTTTTGTCGCAAGTTCGTTTATCCCAGTTTCCCTCTCAGTCTTTTGGCGCCCTTTTTTAATTGTTTTCTCCTCGTTTCATACGGCATGCCAGTGACCTCTCATATACTGAATCCACAGGCGCCCTCCCACCTTCACTTGCTGCAGCCTCCAACCTCTCTCACCTGTGAGTGCAATGTCACTCACCCCTGAGTGCAATGTCACTCACCCCTGAGTGCAATGTCACTCACCCCTGAGTGCAATGTCACTCACCCCTGAGTGCACTGTCACATTTGTGCTATACAGCCTCCCGACCCGTTTGGATGCCAAGGTCAATCAGGCTCCTCATCGTGCCAACCTAAAATCAGGAAGCTTGTCATGTGCATGCGCCCCGCGCCCCCTGTGTGCACCTGTCCTTGACCCCCGCTCCCCCCCGAGTGCACGTGTGTCTGAGCTATTGCAGGGACCTGATGTACAACTATCCCACAGGGAGCATTGTCAGCATTCTCAGCAATCTTACCTCCCTTACCTTCCTGTGCGCCCTCTCCAACCGCACTTCATCTCCACTTTCCCCTGTTCTCTGTGTGTGTGCGCACGCGTGCATGTGTGTGTTTGTGTGCGTGGGTGCGTGCATGCGTGTGTGCGTGTGTGTGAGTCGGTTGGGGAAGTGGGGACTGAGGGGGGAGGACGGGGAATCCTTGTTGTTATGGGACGTATTTCTTGCACCCTCCTTGCTGTGAGCCTCTCACAACTCATGCATCACCCCATTCTCGTTCGCTGCTGCTGCCCTTCCCTCTCGTCCTTTCTGCTTTCCTCTTCTCCTACCTCCAAAGCCCCATGCTGTGTCACTTACTCTACTCCGCCTCTTCCTTCTCACCCTGCTGCTCGTCTTTCCTTCTCCCGTCCCTCTTTCCTTCTCCCGTCCCCCTTTCCTTCTCCCGTCCCTCTTTCCTTCTCCCGTCCCTCTTTCCTTCTCCCGCCCCTCTTTCCTTCGCCCCGTCCTCACCCCTCTCCCGTGCCGCAGCTCCATCATCAAGGCTGTTGACCTCATCGATAGCTTTGCCTCCTTCTCCTCGCTCTCTCGCCTCTCGCTCCTGCAACACCTGTGAGTAAGCGTTGTTGAGGCAACACAGGGGTCTTTCTTTCCCACTTTCAACCTTGCACACCCCCTGCTGATGAATCCTTACTTTGGAGATGTCTCAGAAGTAGCCTTTCCCAAATCCAACCTTGTACGCCAGCTGATGGCTCGCCAAATGCCCTGGAGATACGATACTGTAGCACCCATGCAGCGCCGCAGCACATGCACAGTCCTCCAGTGCGTCGTATGCTGGCGTGTGTGTGTGCTCTGCCGTGCGTTCTCCACTCCACTATAGCCCTTATGTGCTATGCTCTATTCTCCGTGTTCCGTGCTCTGTGCTCTCTCTGCTTCTTGTGTTAACGATGCTACTAATATCCGAAACCATACCAATATCCTTCACGCTCTGGGCACGTAACCTGCGGATTGCTGCAGCGAGCTGGTGCGTCCCTGCACAACATGACATTTGAGTCGACAAAAAAAACATACCAATAACCTTCATACTCTGTGCATGCATGTGTAACATTGTATGCATGTGTAACACGGCATGCATGTGTAACATGCGGATTGCTGCAGGGAGTTGGTGTCGTTGCACAACATGACGGGCAGCCTCGAAGACATGACCTTCCTCACGTCCCTCCCTAAGCTGCGCCATCTGTATGTCGAACATCCTTCTTTCACCATTGTCACGAAAGCAGAAATCTTCGGTGTTTTCTGCACCATCTGTATGCTGCTCAATCCGCCGCCACATAGGCGTTTCTTGTTGCAGGTCAATCTCCAAGATTCTCAAACGCCATCGGTACATCTCCACCTCCTCGCTTCCCTCCTCCTTCACCCCCCCCCTCTGGAGTCCATTCTGCTGGCAGGCCCCTCCTCTCCCTGTGTTATGAGCTGACTCAAAGCATACCCTCCTCTCCCTGTGTTATGAGCTGACTCAAAGCATACCCTCCTCTCGCCTCTGCTACCACAACCACCACGACCACCAGGCATTTCGGGGATATGAACGTGGAGGGGGAGCTTCCTCCCGAGCTCATCCTTCTTGATAAGCTCACCTACCTGTGAGGCCCCTGCTCTTTGCTCACCTTCCTCTGAAATTTATTCTTGGCAATCCTGATTACCTTCCCGTATTGCCTTCCGAATTCGTGCTGCCTTCCTGTATCCAGTGCGCCTCTGGTCAGGGTCGGGTCGACTCGACCTGTCTTGACCTAACCCATTGCTCGTCTCCAGTCTCTCCAGCTCTCAGCCTGCTGCCTTTCCACTGTGGAAAGTGATGAGGAAGCACGCACGTGCAAGAAATTACTCCTGATTCTCCCCAACCCTGATTAGAGTTTTCAGCAACCTGTGTCACATCAGTTCCAAGCGCTCCCTGCTTTCTTCGTGTGCCAACCATCTCCACGCGTGCGGTGCGTGCTGTGTGCAGGGACCTGAGCTACCTCTATTTCAACGACGTGCCTCTCTGGCTAGGGACCTTCACCAACCTCCGAACCCTGTAAGTAACCCTGCTTTTCTGTGGCATGGGGCCGCTTACTCGCCCCCATCTTCTTGGCTAGCCTGGTATATACCTACAGTAATTCACCCATATGGACTGGTCACAGCAGTCTCTTGTCACACATCGGTTACCTTTGCTCATCTGACCCTGTCCCCTTATCCTTTCTTCATGCATCTCACTCTTTGCCCCCTGGGCTCTCACCCTTGTCCTCTAGGCTCTCATCCTTGCCCCCTGTGCTCTCACCCTGCTCCCTGTGCTCTCACCCTGCTCCCTACGCTCTCACCCTGCTCCCTACGCTCTCCCCCTGCTCCCTACGCTCTCCCCCTGCTCCCTACGCTCCCCCCCTGCTCCCTACGCTCTCACCCTGCTCCCTACGCTCCCCCCCTGCTCCCTACGCTCTCCCCCTGCTCCCTACGCTCTCCCCCTGCTCCCTACGCTCTCCCCCTGCTCCCTACGCTCTCCCCCTGCTCCCTACGCTCTCCCCCTGCTCCCTACGCTCCCCCCCTGCTCCCTACGCTCTCCCCCTGCTCCCTACGCTCTCCCCCTGCTCCCTGTGCTCTCACCCTGCTCCCTGTGCTCTCACCCTGCTCCCTGTGCTCTCACCCTGCTCCCTGTGCTCTCCCCCTGCTCCCTACGCTCTCCCCCTGATTCCTACGCTCTCACCCTGCTCCCTGTGCTCTCACCCTGCTCCCTATGCTCTCCCCCTGCTCCCTGTGCTCTCACCCTGCTCCCTGTGCTCTCACCCTGCTCCCTGTGCTCTCCCCCTGCTCCCTGTGCTCCGCCCTGCTCCCTGTGCTCTCACTCTGCTCCCTATGCTCTCCCCCTGCTCCCTGTGCTCTCACCCTGCTCCCTGTGCTCTCACCCTGCTCCCTACGCTCTCCCCCTGCTCCCTGTGCTCTCACCCTGCTCCCTGTGCTCTCCCCCTGCTCCCTGTGCTCTCCCCCTGCTCCCTGTGCTCTCACCCTGCTCCCTACGCTCTCACCCTGCTCCCTGTGCTCTCACCCTGCTCCCTGTGCTCTCACCCTGCTCGCTCTCCCCCTGCTCCCTGGGCTCTCACCCTGCTCCCTGTGCTCTCACCCTGCTCCCTACGCTCTCCCCCTGCTCCCTGTGCTCTCACCCTGCTCCCTGTGCTCTCCCCCTGCTCCCTGTGCTCTCCCCCTGCTCCCTGTGCTCTCACCCTGCTCCCTACGCTCTCCCCCAGCGCCGCTACCAGTGCCAACCCGGGCTCGCGCAACATGTGCTCAGGGGCCGTGCCGCAGGAACTCTCTCGCCTCTCACGCTGGTCGCCTGGGCTCTCACCCTTTTCATCTGCTCCCTGCGCTCCCCACTACCAGTGCCATCCCACACGCGCGCTACATGCGCACGGGTGTGAGTCGACGCAAGCTCACCCTTTGCCACTGCGTTCTCACCCTGCCCCCTGCGCCTTCACCAGTGCCATCTCGGACACGCGCAACATGCGCTCAGGGGCCGTGCCGCAGGACCTCTCTCGCCTCTCGCACCTCGTGGAGTTGTGAGTCCATCTTCTTCCTAGATGCGCCTTCACTGCCCTCCCTCCCTTCACATCTCGCCGCCCTTCTTCTTTGACACGCCAAGGTTCCGAATGATTTTTTAGTCAACTCAAAACACGCCAAGGTTCCGAATGATTTTTTAGTCGACTCAAAACACGCCAAGGTTCCGATTGTGGTCGTTTAGCTGTCTTGAGGACTACTGGAAATTTCTAGCTTGTTGGCCGTTTCTTACTTGCTATGCTGCTCTGCTGTTGTGGCTGGCATGGCACCATTGAGTGTTTCATTCTTGTTTCTCAGTCCGATGCCTCTCCTCTCTCGCTTGCTTATCTCGCTGTGTCTTTCACACACATTCACACGACGCGACACAACCACGTGCACCCACACATCGCATGTGCAGTAAGGCAGGAGGGAACGGTCTCGTTGGCTTCCTCCCCGACTCATGGGCCTCCCTCACTGCCCTCACACTGCTGTGCGTCTTGCTTCCCTCACTGCCCTCACACTGCTGTGCGTCTTGCTTCCCTCACTGCCCTCACACTGCTGTGCGTCTTGCTTCCCTCACTGCCCTCACACTGCTGTGCGTCTTGCTTCCCTCACTGCCCTCACACTGCTGTGCGTCTTGCTTCCCTCACTGCCCTCACACTGCTGTGCGTCTTGCTTCCCTCACTGCCCTCACACTGCTGTGCGTCTTGCTTCCCTCACTGCCCTCACACTGCTGTGCGTCTTGCTTCCCTCACTGCCCTCACACTGCTGTGCGTCTTGCTTCCCTCACTGCCCTCACACTGCTGTGCGTCTTGCTTCCCTCACTGCCCTCACACTGCTGTGCGTCTTGCTTCCCTCACTGCCCTCACACTGCTGTGCGTCTTGCTTCCCTCACTGCCCTCACACTGCTGTGCGTCTTGCTTCCCTCACTGCCCTCACACTGCTGTGCGTCTTGCTTCCCTCACTGCCCTCACACTGCTGTGCGTCTTGCTTCCCTCACTGCCCTCACACTGCTGTGCGTCTTGCTTCCCTCACTGCCCTCACACTGCTGTGCGTCTTGCTTCCCTCACTGCCCTCACACTGCTGTGCGTCTTGCTTCCCTCACTGCCCTCACACTGCTGTGCGTCTTGCTTCCCTCACTGCCCTCACACTGCTGTGCGTCTTGCTTCCCTCACTGCCCTCACACTGCTGTGCGTCTTGCTTCCCTCACTGCCCTCACACTGCTGTGCGTCTTGCTTCCCTCACTGCCCTCACACTGCTGTGCGTCTTGCTTCCCTCACTGCCCTCACACTGCTGTGCGTCTTGCTTCCCTCACTGCCCTCACACTGCTGTGCGTCTTGCTTCCCTCACTGCCCTCACACTGCTGTGCGTCTTGCTTCCCTCACTGCCCTCACACTGCTGTGCGTCTTGCTTCCCTCACTGCCCTCACACTGCTGTGCGTCTTGCTTCCCTCACTGCCCTCACACTGCTGTGCGTCTTGCCTCCCTCGCACACACCGCACCACCCTGTGAGAAAAGAGAAAAGATGAAGAACCATTGATTTCATTAGGAGAGATGGGGGTATACATAGTAGTGCTAGGATGGCGGGTTTGGTTGGAACCAAGCCAACATTATTGGCCCCCACCAATAAGTTGGATTGAGGGATTATTGGGGGGACCAATAATGTTGACCGAGTGGTTCAACATTATTGGGGGGACCAATAATTCCCAACCCAACCTTGGGGGCCAAGGTTTGAGTTCCAACCCCCAACTAGGGTTAGCCCTAGTTCTACACCCAAACTAAGTTTGGGTGCCTATCTCTAACCTAAGCTTATAGGATTGATGTAGGTTACAATGAGGATGGTAATCTGACACACCCACCTTTCTCACCCACTCCCCTTGTCATCTCAACACCCGCTATCGGGTATCTTAATGATAAGAACCCACTCTGCCCTTGATTTCTTCGTTGATTCTGCTTGCCCTATCAACCAAACTAGTCTGCTGACTGCAGCAATCCCCAACGCCTTTTTGCCTTCGCATTGCACATGATTACTGACTCCTGAAGCCTCTTCAACCCTCTCCAACCCTCTCCAACCCAGGGATCTGAAGGAAAACGGCCTCTTGGGCTCCATCCCAAACGCCTTCTCCAACCTCCAGAGCCTCGGCACACTGTGAGCCTCCTTCTGCCCTGCTGCTGCTTCTGCCCTGCTGGTTGAACCACCTGCACATGCCATGCCAGTGACAGTGTCTTGATTCAAAGTGACTTGTGAGTGCCTGCCACTAATAAAGAAACCACCATCTGATACAATTGGAACATGATCTCATCCAAACCTGATCTAACCCGAACATGATGTATTCCCAACCACTCACCCACATGCGTGCCTCGTGTCACTGCAGGGACCTGTCCATCAACCAGATGAGTGGCTCGCTGCCCACCTCCTTCAGTCCCGCCCTTCAGTACCTGTCAGTGCCCTCTCCTGCCTGTCAGTGCCCTCTTCTGCTCTCAGTGCCTTTCAATGTCACATTCTCTGCTCGCCATTGCTTCCTCCCAGTCCTTCCCCTCAACCTTCTACCCTGCCCCCCTCTCTCCCTCCTGCTTATTCTCCTCTCACCCTCATGTGTTCTGTCTCGCGTCTCCCCTTTCCTGCTCCTATACTCCCTCTCCCGACTCCGTTTTCCTGCTCCTATACTCCTGCCCCCTCCCATCTTCTTTCTCTCCCCCCCTCCTTATCACTCCTCTCTCTTCCCTCCCTCCTCCCCTCTCCTTGCTCTTTCCAGCCGTCTCAACGACAACCAGTTTCAAGGCTCTCTGCCATCTGCCCTCGGCAATCTGCCATCTCTCGCCACACTGTAAGCCTCGCCACACTTTAAGCTTCGCCGCACCCTAACCCTCGCCCCCAGCTTTCGTCGTTGCTTGCATTGCGTACCACCCCCGTTCATGTCCCGGTGTCACTAACAACCATAACGTGAGGTATTCGACTATAGTACATTCTGATACCACAATATGCAGCGCAGCAAAGTGCCACTGAAGGAACATCAGAGGGGCCTCTGCTGTGGCCTTTGCACGCTGCCTTTTGGTGTTGGTCAACTGCGTTCGCCCCGTGCTTCCGTTTGCCCCTTGCCAGCAATCTGGGTTCCAACCGCCTTACAGGAACAATTCCCAAGGACTTCACAGGACTCTCCGCCCTCACAGATTTGTGAGTTGCAGTTACTTCGACCAGCGGTTTTGAGGCGCTTCAGAAATCATTCCAGTCATTTCAATTATTGGTCAGCTGAGTCTTGCAGACATGCTCTCCTGCTGTGCTCCCCCCCTGTCTCGCCTCTAGTCCGTTCTAATTTCACACTTGGTGATATGCATGCAAATTCGTTCTTTGTTTTTGTGTTGCTCGAAGATATGCACATTCTTGATCCACCCCCTCCCCGCCATGAGTCTATGCTTCGTGCTCGAGTTTGCTCTGTACGCACATCGCACACGCATGCATGGAGCTCTTGTGGTTGAGGTGGCCTGCACGAAAACACACTAAGTCAGAGACACGCCCATGCCCATGCCCATGCCCATGCCCATGCCCATGCACATCCACATGCACATGCACAGTCACATGCACATGAGTTATCATCCCAGTGCTGATTGAAAGAGTGTGTGTTTGCGTGTGAGTGTGTGTGTGTGTGTGTGTGTGTGTGTGTGTGCGTGTGTGTGTGTGTGTGCGTGTGTGTGTGTGTGTGCGTGTGTGCGTGTGTGTGTGTGTGTGCGTGTGTGTGTGTGTGTGCGTGTGTGTGCGTGTGTGTGCATGTGTGTGTGTGTGTGTGTGTGTGTGTGTGTGTGTGTGTGTGGGTGGGTGGGTGGTGTGGCCATGTGCTGCTGCGACTGGGAATGGGCAGGGTGCTGAACTACAACCAGCTGTCAGGAGGGCTGGAGGTCATTGCCAACATGCCGTATCTCATCATCTTGTGAGCCAACATGCCGTATCTCATCATCTTGTGAGCCAACATGCCGTATCTCATCATCTTGTGAGCCAACATGCCGTATCTCATCTCCTTGTGAGCCAACATGCCGTATCTCATCTCCTTGTGAGCCAACATGCCGTATCTTATCACCATTTGAGCCAACATGCCTTATCTCATCACCATGTGAACCAGCCAACATGCCGTATCTCATCACCTTGTGAGCCCCGCGCTCTTTTGAAGTGACGGCATGTAAAAGTCCATGTTTGCACTCGTTCAACTCTCCAACCTCCATGCCATCTTGCGTGCCCACCTCCGAGGTAGCTCTCCCTCACCCCTCCCCTCCTGTGTTTCCCGTTCTCACTCCTCTCCTACCCTTACCTATTCCCACTCTCCCGCTCTTGTCCTCTCCCCCTCTCCGCCTCCCGCTCTTCCCCCTAGTGAAATTGGTTCCAACAACTTCTCAGGGTCGCTGCCTGCTGATTTCTCCAAGCTCGCCTCTCTTATGAATTTGTCAGTTGCATGGGTCTAATTGATTTATAATAATAGGGCAGCAATACTGGAAGATATCACTTGAGCAACAGAATCAATAGGGTAAAGTTAGTGTGAAAAAAGTAGATATAAAAAACGCTGATAGTTGATTTTTCCAAGCTCACCTCTCTTATGAATCTGTCAGTCGCATGCAGGCACACACACGCATGCAGGCACACACACGCACACGTTGCTCTTGCAGTGCAGCCTCAAGTCAAGTGCATGGCAGTAGCCGAAAGCCATGGAAGTTGGAGCCATTCCTGTTAGAGTCTTCTTCAGCTGTGGGTTGTGCGTTGCAGCAGTGCAAGTGGAACGTCTAGGAGGTCCGTGCATAGAGTTCTTGTCCTCTCCACTCTCCGTTCACCCCACCCGCAAACTCGGCAGCATTGTGAATAACAACAGCCTGGCAGGGGAGTTTCCGTCTGTGCTTCTGGATCTCACCGCACTTGCAGGACTGTATGTTTGCTGTGCTGCCAGCCTGTCATTCACGTGTGCTGCCAGCCTGTCATTCACGTGTGCTGCTAGCTTGTCATTCACGTGTGCTGCCAGCTAATTCACGTGTGCTGCCAGCTTGTCATTCACGTGTGCTGCCAGCTTGTCATTCACGTGTGCTGCCAGCTTGTCATTCACGTGTGCTGCTAGCTTGTCATTCACGTGTGCTGCCAGCTAATTCACGTGTGCTGCCAGCTTGTCATTCACGTGTGCTGCCAGCTTGTCATTCACGTGTGCTCTCATCACATCCACGCCAGTCAGACCATCCCTCCTCGAATGGTCCTTTATTGATATAGGCAAGGTTATACAACAGGAGGGCAATACGGTAGGTACAGCGATCACACGCACTTGTAGCACAAACTACTGCACTTGTTTGCAGCACTTGGTTGGGCCCCTCCCTCAACGGTGTGGAGGAGCTCCCCGATGCCAAGGGGCTCGGGGAAGGGGTTCACCGCAGTCGGTGCCGCCACAAAGGCGGCGTGGGTCTTGACGATCAGCGCATTTTCCTGGGCCCGCTGCAGTGTGCATGACCATCCCTCCTTCGACTCCGACCATCCACTTGTTTTCTCCCCCCACTTAGTGTCCAGCTCTATACTCTCATCCTCCCCAAATCCATCTTCTCCACCTCTTGAACTGTCTCCTCTGCTCCCCGTCTTCCGCCGCAGCGACTTGTCATATAACAGACTCCAAGGGTCCATTCCAGACGCCCTCACTAAACTCACATCTCTGGAATCTTTGTGAGTGATCTATGTACATGCCATTTTGCCGTGACGTGGCGCTCTGTGCTCCTCACCCTTCCCTGTCTCTCTTTTCCTCTTCGTGTCTTGCGATTCCTCTCCCCGTGTCGTTTTCCTCTCCCTCTGTCACTATTCCTCTCTCCGTCTCGCCATTCCTCTTCTCGTCCTCCACTCTTCCCCTCATTCCCGCGATCCCTTGTCCTGCATCCGTCCATGCGCCCTTCCTTCCATCCATCCATGCGCCCATCCTTCCTCTCATCCGTCTGTGCGCTCATCAGGCATTTGGAGCACAACCAGTTCTCTGGGGAGGTGCCGGCCTTCCTCTTCCAATTCCCCGCACTCGCAGAGCTGTGCGTCGAATCACCATCACTCAACCTCCCTCTCGGCTTCCCTCCCTTTCGCCATCCCTCCCTCCCACCGTCCCTCCCTTCCTTGTGTGTGAAGACCACGACCGTCTGTTTTTCCCCGTTTCAGTCTGTTGCGCCGCTGTCCCATGCGCCGTTGTCGTTCGCCTCTCCATCAGTCACTCACTCACCGCGCAGCAGCTTCATTTGAAAAGGCTTGCTCCGATTCTCGAGCCGGCTAAAAAAACGACCCATCCCTCACCACTCACCCAGCAATAGGAAGAAAAGACAATGTGCATCTCCCCACCTCTCCCGTCACTCCTCCCGTTCTGAATCGTTTAACTCTTCCATCTATTGACCCTGCATGCCATATTGCCTCAGTGCCATTTGACCATACAATGTGTGTGCTGAGTGTGCTCTCTCTTGTGCTGTGTGCTCTCTCCTGTGCTGTGCGCTAATCCAGGTACCTCTCAGACAATCATTTCCAAGGCAGCATTCCTCAAAGCCTCGACGCCAGTACCACGCTCGGCACTCTGTGAGAGCTGCTAAGCGTGCTGTGAGTGCTGCCTAGCGCGCTGTGAGTGCTGCCTAGCGCGCTGTGAGAGCGAGATCCTGCCATTGTGTGTAGGCGTTCATACTCTGTTTTTTTTGCAACTGGGCACAGGTGCTTTCACTCCTAATGGCACAGGAATATGCTTGCAGCAACTTGGAAGCAAGGGCTGCCATGCTTTCGATGCTTCATTTCCAGCCTTGCCTCTTCTCCTTGCCTCCTCGCCTCCTTGCCTCTTCGCCTCCTTGCCTCCTCTCCTTCTTGCCTCCTCGCCTCCTCGCCTCCTTGCCTCCTCGCCTCCTTTCTCCTTCTGAATCTCCTGTTGCTCTGTGCTGGTGTTTGTGCCCATCATCCCATCAACTCTCCCCCTCTCCCTCGCACTACCAGACCCTCCCATTCCCCCCATGCTTGTCTCGCAGCAATCTTTGTTATGATTCGACTAAAAACGAACGACACCCTCCCATTGGGCCCATGCTTGTCTCGCAGCAATCTAGAGGGCAACTCGTTCAGTGGCCCTCTGCCTGACTTCGCCCAGTGGAACACCAGCCTCACTGCTCTGTACGCCTCTGCACCATGCAGTACCTTTGTCCACTCTCTTCCTGCTGCCTTTCCTCTTATCAGCGTCTCTGTGCCCTCCGTTCTGCACGAGTCTTACCTCATTTTGGTGCACTGAAAGTGTTGATGCGCCTTGAGTGATGTGGTGTTATTCTTGGGAATCCTCAATGGTGCCTGTCGAGAATCTTCTAACGTGCACACACCTTTCAGAGGCACGCCTTTCAGAGGCATGCCTTTCAGAGGCACGCCTTTCAGAGGCACGCCTTTCAGAGGCACACCTTTCAGAGGCACACCTTTCAGAGGCACGCCTTTCAGAGGCACACCTTTCAGAGGCACACCTTTCAGAGGCACACCTTTCAGAGGCACACCTTTCAGAGGCACACCTTTTAGAGGCACGCCCTTCAGAGAACCACTTTTCTGTGCCATGCCCCACACTGCCATAGATACCTTGGGTTCAACAATTTCACAGGCTCCATTCCTGACTCGCTCACTACAATCACCTCCCTCCTTACCATGTAAGCCATTGCAGTGCAGCAGGCGATTTACTGCAGAAAGCAATGTGTGGCAGAATGTATGGCATGAGTGACCAGCAAATAGCTGTGACGAGCAAATAGCCTGAGCATCCTTGCTCTGGGCGGTGCAGTCTGCCATGAGCTCTGCTGCTGTCCCTTGCAGTAACCATCCTCGTAACCCAGTCCGTGTGGTAACCACCACTGTAACCGTCAGCATCTGTCGCGTGTTACTGACCGTGTCGGATGTCTTGTGTGGACTCTATACTCTATGTTTGATTCTCAATGCTCTATGCTCTGTGCTCAATGCTATGTGCTCCATGCTCAATGCTCAGAGGTCCATGTTCCGTTCTCTATGCATTGTGCTCCATACTCTCCATGCTGCAGCACTCTTCAGTTCAACCAGCTGTCGGGCAGCATTCCAACTTCTCTTTCGGCTCTCACGACCCTTGACACGATGTGAGAAGGCGTGTGTGTGCAATGTGAGAAGGCGTGTGTGTGCAATGTGAGAAGGCGTGTGTGTGCAATGTGAGCAGGCGTGTGTGTGCAATGTGAGCAGGCGTGTGTGTGCAATTTGAGCAGGCGTGTGTGTGCAATTTGAGCAGGCGTGTGTGTGCAATTTGAGCAGGCGTGTGTGTGCAATGTGAGCAGGCGTGTGTGTGCAATGTGAGCAGGCGTGTGTGTGCAATGTGAGCAGGCGTGTGTGTGCAATGTGAGCAGGCGTGTGTGTGCAATGTGAAAAGGTGTGTGTGTGTGTGTGCAATGTGAAAAGGCGTGTGTGTGCAATGTGAGCAGGCGTGTGTGTGCAATGTGAGCAGGCGTGTGTGTGCAATGTGAGCAGGCGTGTGTGTGCAATGTGAGCAGGCGTGTGTGTGCAATGTGAGCAGGCGTGTGTGTGCAATGTGAGCAGGCGTGTGTGTGCAATGTGAGCAGGCGTGTGTGTGCAATGTGAAAAGGTGTGTGTAGGGTTGAGCAAAAAACCGAACAGGTATTTTTTTTTGGCTTAAAATGTTCGCCGAACAGTGTTCGATGTTCGCCCGAACACGTTCGTGTTCGGGCCGCTGCTGCAATTTGCCCGCGACGAACACGAACAGTGTTCGAGGTTCGCCCGAACACGCCTTCACAGGCGAACGGCGAACACCAGTTTTTGCTCATAGTGTTCGCCGAACCGAACAGTGTTCGGTTCGGCAAACGAAGGTGTTCGTGTAGGGGCGAACACGAACACGTTCGTGTTCGCCACTTGCTCATCCCTAGGTGTGTGTGTGTGTGTGTGCAATGTGAAAAGGCGTGTGTGTGCAATGTGAGCAGGCGTGTGTGTGCAATGTGAGCAGGCGTGTGTGTGCAATGTGAGCAGGCGTGTGTGTGCAATGTGAGCAGGCGTGTGTGTGCAATGTGAGCAGGCGTGTGTGTGCAATGTGAGCAGGCGTGTGTGTGCAATGTGAGCAGGCGTGTGTGTGCAATGTGAGCAGGCGTGTGTGTGCAATGTGAAAAGGCGTGTGTGCTGTGTGCTTCCTTTGCTCCACTCCAGCCTATTCTTCCTTTCCACCTGTTCCCTTCCTTTTCTTCCATTCATTCCCTTCCCTTCCGTTCCATCCAGGCCCTTCCCTTCCATATCATCCCCTTCCTTTCCGTTCCATCCATTCCATTGCCTTTCTTTCCGTTTCGCTTCCTGCCCCTCCCTTCCCTTTCCTTATACACCCTCTTGCACTCCCTGTATCCTTTCGTTTTTTTCCCTGCCCATCCCCTCCGTCTCCCCTCATTCCTTGCTTTTCATCCCCCGTCCCTGTTTCCACAATTTTTCTGGTTCAGTGAATCCTATTCTTCAAGGCCTTGCACCCAACTCGTTTGCACCCAACCCTCGTTGCTCCCAACCCCAGTCAGTCCCATCCCATCCCTCCTGCCTCTTTAACTCCTCATGCCGACTGTGCAGATGGCTGGCAGGCAATCAGCTCTCAGGCACTATCCCTGACTTCTTTGCATCCCTCTCAAACATGCGACAGCTGTGCGTTCTTTACCTTCCCTCCCTTCCCTCCCCACCTCACTGCCGATCTCCTCTCCGCTCCCGCTGCCAACCCTCACACAACACACTTCTGATGTCACATCTCCTCTGCTCCACCGTTCACCATTTCTGAAACGTGTCCAAATCCTCTGTGTCGATTTTTCTTTCCCATGCTCCTGTGATCCCTCCTACCCTTCTTCACCTTTCCCTCACAATTCCTCCCATCTGCCCTTGTATTGGCTTGCTCGCACCACCACCCCTCGCCGCCAACGCTAGTATGCTGGATGACAATCAGATCTCGGGCTCTCTGCCAGCTTCCTTCTGCAATCTCAAGCGACTTGAATACTTGTGAGTTGATTGATGCTATGCCTCCTCACCAAGGCATGGCTGCCACGCGCATGTTAGGAGGGCATGCATGTGCCTCCATGATGCATGCATGTGCCTCCATGATGCATGCATGTGCCTCCATGATGCATGCATGTGCCGCCATGATGCATGCATGTGCCTCCATGATGCATGCATGTGCTCCCATGATGCATGCATGTGCCTCCATGATGCATGCATGTGCCGCCATGATGCATGCATGTGCCTCCATGATGCATGCATGTGCCGCCATGATGCATGCATGTGCCTCCATGATGCATGCATGTGCCGCCATGATGCATGCACATGCCTTCATGATGCATGCATGTGCTCCCATGATGCATGCATGTGCCTCCATGATGCATGCATGTGCCACCATGATGTATGCATGTGCCTCCATGATGCATGCATGTGCCGCCATGATGCATGCATGTGCCTCCATGTGCTCCCATGATGCATGCATGTGCTTCCATGATGCATGCATGTGCTTCCATAATGCATGCATGTGCTTCCATGATGCATGTGCCTCCATGATGCATGCATGTGCCGCCATGATGCATGCATGTGCTCCCATGATGCATGCATGTGCTTCCATGATGCATGCATGTGCCGCCATGATGCATGCATGTGCATGCATGTGCTCCCATGATGCATGCATGTGCTTTCATTATGCATGCATGTGCCTCCATGATGCATGCATGTGCTTCCATGATGCATGCATTAGCTTCCGTGATGCATGCATGTGCTTCCATGATGCATGCATGTGCCTCCATGATGCATGCATGTGCTTCCATGATGCATGCTCCCATGATGCATGTATGTCCATGATGCATGGATGTGCTTCCATGATGCATGCATGTGCTTCCATGATGCATGCATGTGCTTCCATGATGCACGCATGTGCCTCCATGATGCATGCATGTGCCGCCATGATGCATGCATGTGCCTCCATGATGCATGCATGTGCTTCCATGATGCATGCATGTGCTTCATGATGCATGCATGTGCCTCCATGATGCATGCATGTGCCGCCATGATGCATGCATGTGCCTCAATGATGCATGCATGTGCTCCCATGGTGCATGCATGTGCTTCCATGATGCATGCATGTGCTTCCATGATGCATGCATGTGCTTCCATGATGCATGCATGTGCCTCCATGATGCATGCATGTGCCTCCATGATGCATGCATGTGCTTCCATGATGCATGCATGTGCTTCTGTGATGTGATGCATGCATGTGCTTCCATAATGCATGCATGTGCCTCCATGATGCATGCATGTGCTTCCATGATGCATGCACCGCCATGATGCATGCATGTGCATGCATGTGCTCCCATGATGCATGCATGTGCTTTCATTGTGCATGCATGTGCCTCCATGATGCATGCATGTGCTTCCATGATGCATGCATGTGCTTCCGTGATGCATGCATTCGCTTCCATGATGCATGCATGTGCCTCCATATGCATGCATGTGCTTCCATGATGCATGCATGTGCTTCCATGATGGATGCATGTGCCTCCATGGTGCATGCATGTGCTTCCATGATGCATGCATGTGCTTCATGATGCATGCATGTGCCTCCATGATGCATCCATGTGCCGCCATGATGCATGCATGTGCCTCAATGATGCATGCATGTGCTCCCATGGTGCATGCATGTGCTTCCATGATGCATGTGCTTCCATGATGCATGCATGTGCTTCCATGATGCATGCATGTGCCTCCATGATGCATGCACGTGCTTCCATGATGCATGCATGTGCTTCTGTGATGCATGCATGTGCTTCCATAATGCATGCATGTGCCTCCATGATGCATGCATGTGCTTCCATGATGCATGCATGTGCTCCCATGATGCATGCATGTGCCTCCATGATGCATGCATGTGCTCCCATGATGCATGCATGTGCTTCCATGATGCATGCATGTGCCTCCATGATGCATGCATGTGCTCCCATGATGCATGCATGTGCTTCCATGATGCATGCACGTGCCTCCATGATGCATGCATGTGCTTCCATGATGCATGCATGTGCTTCCGTGATGCATGCATGTGCTTCCGTGATGCATGCATGTGCTTCCGTGATGCATGCTCTTTCGCCTCCTCTCTAATCGCTTCTTTGAGCCAGTATAGATAAAGTCTCCTCGCTCTTTTCTGCCACACCTTTCCTCTCTCTGCAACCCCTTGTAAAAACGCATGCAGCAGTGCATTCACAGGTTCTGAGGTGCCTCGAACTCCTGACACCCTGCCAGTCCTCCCCCCTCCCTCCCTCCCCCCCCGCTCCCCCGTCTACTCTCCTCCTCGCCGCTCCTTGCCACCAGTGGCGTGCGCAACAACCGCATGTACGGGCCGCTGCCACGCTGCATGTTTGACTTCCTCGGACTCAACTACCTGTGAGCGCGCTGCATGTTTGACTTCCTCGGACTCAACTACCTGTGAGCGCGCTGCATGTTTGACTTCCTCGGACTCAACTACCTGTGAGCCCGCTGCATGTTTGACTTCCTCGGACTCAACTACCTGTGAGTGTGCTGCATGTTTGACTTCCTCGGACTCAACTACCTCTGAGTGTGCTGCATGTTTGACTTCCTCAGACTCAACTACCTGTGAGTGTGCTGCATGTTTGACTTCCTCGGACTCAACTACCTGTGAGTGTGCTGCATGTTTGACTTCCTCGGACTCAACTACCTGTGAGCGCGCTGCATGTTTGACTTCCTCGGACTCAACTACCTGTGAGCGCGCTGCATGTTTGACTTCCTCGGACTCAACTACCTGTGAGCGCGCTGCATGTTTGACTTCCTCGGACTCAACTACCTGTGAGTGGGCTGCATGTTTGACTTCCTCGGACTCAACTACCTGTGAGTGTGCTGCATGTTTGACTTCCTCGGACTCAACTACCTGTGAGTGTGCTGCATGTTTGACTTCCTCGGACTCAACGACCTGTGAGTGTGCTGCATGTTTGACTTCCTCGGACTCAACTACCTGTGAGTGTGCTGCATGTTTGACTTCCTCGGACTCAACTACCTGTGAGTGTGCTGCATGTTTGACTTCCTCGGACTCAACTACCTGTGAGTGTGCTGCATGTTTGACTTCCTCGGACTCAACTACCTGTGAGTGTGCTGCATGTTTGACTTCCTCGGACTCAACTACCTGTGAGTGTGCTGCATGTTTGACTTCCTCGGACTCAACTACCTGTGAGTGTGCTGCATGTTTGACTTCCTCGGACTCAACTACCTCTGAGTGTGCTGCATGTTTGACTTCCTCGGACTCAACTACCTGTGAGTGTGCTGCATGTTTGACTTCCTCGGACTCAACTACCTGTGAGTGTGCTGCATGTTTGTCACCGAATATGCACGGTTGTGCATATAAGGTGCCAGTATGATTAAGGTGTAGGATGGGTGTAGTGATGTGTTGTATTTGGTGTATGCAGCCTCAAGGATAAGTAGGTGGGGGGCTGGGAAATTGACGCGGAGTTGGTAGGAGATCACCAAGGGGTGAAATCCTCGCGACCAATGGGAACAAACCCACCCAGGCCCGAGCCGCACATTGAGAAATGCACGGCTCGAGCCAGGGACAGGTAAGTTCACTCTCACACACACACACAATGCTTTCCGTTTGTTATCCTTTCGTATAGTGGATTCTGGTTACCTCTAGCCTTGCGTTTGGTGACACCCACTCAGGGAGGACCATTGAGGTGAGAGTCTCGTCACTTTCATAACAAACGGAAAGCATTCTGCGTGCGTGCAAGCATGGACGGGTACGACGTGCGTTATGGCCGGACGTATAGTCGGCATGAGCAGGATCGCTCACGGCGCGGACACTCCCGCGAGCGTGGGCGGTCGCTGGAGCAGTCTCCGCGGAGGCCAGATCGATCGCCGCGAAGGCCTGCCTTTCGGGCGGATCAGGTGCCTCTCGGGCATGAACGCCGAGAGGAAGGATCTGCACAAGGAAGAGCCGGCGGATCGGAATCGGCCATGGTGAGGAGTGATCCGTGGCGGACGGAAACGCGCCATGGGGGTGGCGATCTGGGATATCGCTAGGAGACAGGAGCGTATCGCTCGCCGGATGCAAGTTATCGCCGTCGTGAAGAGCGGAGGCGCGGGCGAGGCTTGGAAGGACTGTTTTCGGGCCGAGAGGGAGACCTCAACGCTGGCGGAGTAGAAGAAAGCGACGCGGCGGACACCTCGCAGGAGTCCGAGCACGGCGATGCGGTGGAGAACGGCGCCGACGGCCGGAAGGAGGACGTGAGCAAGCAGCGCGACGTGCCTGCAGAAGCAACAGAAGCAGATCTCGCGCAGGCGAGCGTGGCGGCAGAGACAAGCGCGGTGGAGGCGGACGGAACGAGCGGTGCTCGAAACCTGCCGCGCAACGGAGAGGAGCGTGGCAGCGGGAGGCGTAGCAGCAGCTCGCGCTCTCCAGATTTGCGTCAGCAATGCGACGCGGGATGCGGCGATGGCATGCGCTCGCCAGATCCGCGGCGCACTCGTGATGGGGGACGCGGCGATGGTGTGCGCTCGCCAGATCCGCGACGCACTCGTGATGGGGGAAGCGGCGACGGCGTGCGCTCGCCAGATCCGCGGCGCACTCGTGATGGGGGACGCGGCGACGGCGTGCGCTCGCCAGATCCGCGGCGCACTCGTGATGGGGGACGCGGCGACGGCATGCGCTCGACAGATCCGCGGCGCACTCGTGATGGGGGACGCGGGGATGGTGTGCGCTCGCCAGATCCGCGACGCACTCGTGATGGGGGAAGCGGCGACGACGTGCGCTCGCGAGATCCGCGGCGCACACGTGATGGGGGACGCGGCGACGGCGTGCGCTCGCCAGATCCGCGGCGCACTCGTGAAGGGGGACGCGGCGACGGCATGCGCTCGCCAGATCCGTGGCCGCTGCATGAGAGGAGACACGGAAGTGGATACCACTCGCCAGATTCGAGGCAACACCGGGACAGTGGGCGCGGGGGCAGCACGCACTCACTAGATCCGCGGAGAAATCGCGACGGGAGAAGCAGAGGGGATTCGCGCTCGCCAGAGCCTCGTTACTCGCGTGATGAGAGACGCGGAGGAGGCAATCGCTCGCCGGACATGCAACGGTACCGTGGAGAGAAGTGGGGAGACAAGGCGCACTCGCCCGACTGGCGCCTGCGTCATGGGGAAAGCCGGGGAGGCGGATATCGCTCACCGCATCGGCAGCAGAGCAGGGATGGGAGGGGCGGTGGTGGGTCTCGATCGCCTGGCCGGTATTGGCAGCACGACGGAAGATGTGCCGGACAGGGAGGGCGGGAGCAACATGGCGATAGAGAAGAAAGCAGTGGGCTGGTGCACAGCCTGGAGCGAGCCAAGGAAGCAAGGGAGGGCCTACAGCGGGCAAAAGGAAGGGGAGCATCAGGGAGATCGGTGGGAGGGCCGAGCGAGGCATGGGGAGAAGGAAGGGGAGGCACGGCCGTGGGCATGAGGGTGGAGGTGCCTACACGCTTCTCAGGAGATCAGCACACGGGGCCCACGCTGAAGAACTACCTCATGCAAGTGGGCAATGTGCGGTACCGATGTGAGAGGAGCGGCATGGACTCAGTAGACTTTTTCCGGAGCCTGCCGAACACACTGGAAGGGGAGGCAGAGACATTGTACAGGATGAAGATGGATGAGCTGTTGGAGAGGGCAGGGAGGTATGGGGAAGACCCCACGGAGGCATTCCTAAGACGGCTGAAACGGCAGTTCCCAGGCCACACCGCGGAGAAGATAAGAGAGTTTCAGGACTTCAGGAAGGGGCGGGGCGAGTCACTACTCACCTACTACAACCGATTGGTTAACCTGGCAGAGGATGTGAGTTGCGCGGACACGGCCCTGCTCGTGAGTAAGTTTCTGGACGGCCTGGAGGGTACTTTGGGAAGCGGGCTGCGGCTGAAAGTGTACGAGAGGGGGGCTGACGTGACGCTTGATGAAGTATTCGAGCTAGCAGAGAAGATGGAGATGGCCCAGAGGAAGCTCGAAGCCTACCGGCAACGCCCAGTGGAGCGAGGCAGAGGACCTACGTGGGCCGCAGCCATGATACCAGAAGAAAAGGAAAGAGGAGGGGGAAGAGGGGATAACAGGACTGACACACGGACGTGCCACCGATGCGGGCAGCCAGGGCACTTGCGCAGAGACTGCAAGAACTGCGACTCCTGTGGTAAGCCCGGACACCGGCGGCGGGAATGCCCATCGGCGCCAAAGTGTGACATCTGTGGGAAGGGAGGGCATGCAACGAGGGAGTGTTATCAGCGGGAGGGAGCAGCGAGGAGGACACCAGAGGACCTGGAAAGGCAGATTGGCAAGCTACAGGCTCAGCTGCAGGCAATGGGACCACGACGCGAGGCAGAAGCGGGGATGTACGCTAAGAAAGAAAAGGAGGAGGATGTAGAGCAGGATGAAGAAGCTGCATTCATGAGCTGGGCAGGAAGAGCGGAGGATGAGGTGGAACACGAGGAGCAGCCAGCATACATGGCATGGAGAGGAAGGGAGGAGATGGGGCTGCGCAGCGGGGGAAGGGATGCACGGAAGGAGCAGGTGAGGAAGGAACGAGAGAAAGGACAGAAACCGGAAGCGAAAGAAGAGAGGTGCACAGCAGCACGGCACCCTCAGGAGCGGCTGGCGTGCCAGACTTCCGTGCTGCTGATACAAGGAGGCGCGCTGTCGGTGGAAGGGGAGAAGGCCAAGACGGCTATCATAGACACTGGCGCGCAGAGCGTGATATTAGGGAAGGGGATGGCCGAGAAGCTGGGACTGTGGGCACCGGACAGACATGTAGTGAAGGGGATGCTGGTGATGACAGCAGAGGGAGGAGAGTCAAAGTGGATGCCATGTACAAGGACTCCAATTGAACTAACGGTGCTCAAAGGAGAGAAGCACGAAACGCCGGTCAGGATCAGGTGTGGGATCTCAGAATCTGAAGATTTTGACGTTTTGGTGGGCACGGAGATGATCTTTGCACTGGGCATGACCATCTGCTTCTGGAGGGAGACGGTGGAATTCAGGACCAGGTGGTGGAGGAAGGGTGAGCCACTGGGACAGCTGCCGGTGCAGTTCGTCAAGACAGAGCCGAAGCGGGCCTACAGGGCGGATCTGAAGGAAATGACAGCGAAGCAGGGGGCACAGGAGAGCACGACAAGCAAGGGACAGGGCAGAGAGCTGAGGATGCGCTTCATGGACGAGCCTAGCCAGCAGACTGATTGGCAGCAACCTATCCGCCTGGTGGAACTATTTGGGGGTATAGGGGCGGGGTTGGCAGCAGTGGTGCGGAACGGGATCGCAGTGAAGCAGTGGATTTACGTAGAGAAGGCGGCAGAAGCAAGGAAAATGGCGGAGCATCACGCATGGCAGCTGCACCGCGAGTTCCCGGAGCTGTTGAAGGAAGAAGT